TATATATATATATATATATATATATATATATATATATATACACACATATGTGTATGTTGTGTGTGTTAGTAATCATATTACAGCTAAAGAGCTTCAAAGTCAATTTATATGTTAATAATAATAATAATGATAGTACTTCTTTATACAGCATGTTTGTAACAATGTTACAAAGTTCTTTAACAAAACCATGAAATCAAAATTATCATTATTATAAAAAAATAAAAATCGACAACATAAAAGAATAAAACAGCGCATCATCAGGTAAAAAGACAGTAAAGGACAATACTATAAATACTATATTTCAGTCTGTAATTTCTTGTATTATCTCCTTCAACCAATAAAATAACACGATATTCTAGCGTTAGTGCATTATTGATACACCAATAATAATGATAATAATAATGACATCACCAATGCTTAAAATATTAAGATATGAGTCTGATGCGTTATTGTCCGTGTTTTGCTGTATTAAAATGGAATTGACACAAATAGATCTGCACTCCAAATAGCTCCTGTGAGAAGTATTATAATGCTGTGTAAGGTTTTCTCAAACTAATTTGTTTCAACAATGTCTTTGATCCAGCACCCACCCTATTGGGTCTGGGATGTTTGTGTTCTATAATTTCCTCTCGGAATGAAAAGAGTTCATGGACTTTATATGCATGGGTTTGTGGTTGCTTATAAATACAATTAGAAATGGGTGTTTATAACACAGGGAGACATTAAACAGAAATGCTGGACAGCTTAACATCTGAGGACATTTAAAGATGTGAATTACTCTTCCTATTGGACAAGTCATTTTGTATTGACACAGTACACTGCCCATTATTGCTCAGTTCTCCACCATGTGAGACCTGACTTTGATGCAGTAGAACAGGGTTTTGCCTCGGAGACAATTTTCGCGCTGTCTGATGCTGAGGATGTCAGTGACGCTCTAACAAGCCCCTGCCTGCTCTTCGTCACTGTAGTGCCAGATAAGTGCCCATGAGTATTCATCAGGAAGGGCTAATGGGGCACAGCAGTGGGAAACTCTGATTTACAGCCCGGCCCCTGTCAGGCCTTAATGATAGGGCAATGGGGCTAGTTATGGAGAAACAGGTGCTGCAGAGTGAATAGATGCGAAGCAATGCCGCTGAAAGCCACGGGTGATTGTCATTTTGTCCCCTGCACAAATGCTCATTTGCAACATTGTGTTCACACATACATAATTATTATGCATAGAAATGAGCTCTCTTGAAGTAGGCTTATGGAGAGCCTTGGTGTGTGATATATTTCAAACAATAGACAGTGAAAGTAGGTTTAATGATTAATTTACTGTTCCCAAAATTGTTTCCAGAGTAAATGTCACATTCAATATACACAACTCTTTATCCATATTAACAACAGATGGAGCTCAGTGATAAAGTGAGAAACAATGTCTTCAATCAACTCATACACTTGAGTGAGTGAGTGTGTCACGGTGTCATTGTTTTATTTTGACTTTCCCTGCCTCTTGTGTCCTGTGTTCACTTCACTTCCTGCCCTTGATTGAACCCTGCTGTGTCTCATCACCTGTACCTTCCCAGTGTATTTAAAGGTATATGTTCCCTGATTTGATCCCTGCTGTTATTCGACCCTGTTTCCCCACGTCTCCCTGCATTTGGGTTTGTCCACTACCACTTTTGCCTTAAACCCAGATAGAGTGAGTGATTTAACATGTATATTGTAAACTTAGATAACAAAATAGATGGAAAGTTACCAAAGTACCTTTACTAAATGGACAATGATAATTAACATATTGGCCTAAAGCACAGGTCTTCTTGTTAGAAAAAAACGTTTTTGTCTCAGTGAGATAATATACTAGACTTGTCTATATCACAAATATAGTGGTGATGCCTCATCACAGGCTTTAGTATATGTATTTTTTGTGTATTTAAAGGATTTTGAGACAACATGAGAAGCTAAACGTATCCAATATTTGCCATGACAAAGACAAAAGTCAGAAAAAGTAAACATTCTGTATCATATCAATGCTATTTTAATAATAATAATGCTGGAGCCCCAGGCTGGGAACCAATGACTACAGGTGTCCTAAGCAGCAAAATAAAGCAGAGCAAGACAATGCAACCATTGTGTCATCTCCTACTAAATCTCCCAATTCCTTTTCCTTTTGAATTCCTCTCACATTAAGATGACATTGATGGAAAAAAAAATTAAATGTTGGAACCGTTTTTATCAAAGCTATCATGACCTTTAAAGGTGAGAAATAAACGACCAACAGGTCAATTTTGTGGACTCAACGGGCTCAAAAGCTAGTAATGAAAAGGCTATAAAAATGAACGTCTTGCATTACTGTTGTGGAAAACATTCCTATACCCGCTTTGTGTGAGTCTTTTAATGCTGAAATACATAATACCAAAAACCAGGTTGTCTTTTAAGTATTTATTCTCTGCGCAGAGAAGGTTCATTCATCACATCAGAATGCGTTCAGTCTCAGTGAGGAAGAACCAAGGAAAAAGTGAACAAGCTTTCTTTATACACAATGAGCAAAGGTGGGGGCCGATGGCCAATGTTACAGACATTTTGGTCTCAGACTTTTGGTCTCAGACTGATAGGAAGAACATTCAAAAACAAACGGTCAGCAACCAAAACAAGCGGCCCAAAGGCCTCGGTGCTGGAACATTCTCATACAACAAAGTTAGTTATCTTTGTGAACAGTCAAGGGAGAACTCTTCTTTTGCACAACAGAGACACGGTGAAGTTCAACAAAGTTCAGAGCAAAATTACTTACGCATGAATACAATATACTGAGTAGAAATATATATACTACGTAAAAAAAATTACCATTACTTAAGAAAATAATAAGACGTAGAGCGACAAACTGTGTTTGTGCAACGAGCCCAGAACAGTTTCACAAGTCCTATGAGTGAAGTTGTTGTAGGTGTTCAGCAGTTGAAGCTCACTCACTGCAGGTCAGCTGGCACAGTTTACTGATGGATCACTGCACAGCCCACACACACACACACACACACACACACACACTCACACACACACACACACACACACACACTTACACACACACTGGTAGCTCTGTGCCTGGACCATCCCACACTCCAATGGTGTCTTTCCCTCAGAGCCGGCAGTGAGGAGGAATATGGGCAAATCCGAAAGCCAAATGGATATCATGGAGAAATCAAGTAAACCAGGAAAGCGTCGTTGGACTTTTGCAGAAATCGGTCTGTCCGTTCTGCTGCTGTTGGTCAGCTGTGCCTTGGCCGGGCTGGTAGTCCTCTACACATCGATTGTGAAAGGTAATGGCTCTGTCAAGCTTAATGTGGAAAGATCCAGATATTACAGACGGCAGCAGTAATGACACAGCAGCGGCTCTCTGCTCTGTTTTTTTGTGTGACTGCAAGCTGACATTGGCACAGGAAATTATCCTGACCCTAGAAATGCTTTGAGATATGGACATGATGCAAGATACTGGTGCACGTGTGTCATCTGTTTTAGAGATTCTAAAAGGTTAATGTTGGTAACCAAAATAAGCCATATAATATATATATATATATAATATATCTACTCTACACACAAGTAGGGAACTGCTAGTCCAGACTCTTTTTTTGTGGATTTGTTTTTATTTTTTAGAATAGATCCATTGTGAAACATGTACAATACTTGATTTTGTTTCTCTTGTTTTAACGTTAAATTGTTATTACAATTTAGAATAAAGTCATCCTCACTGTGTCTAATGTTGTCTGATATGTTTCTTCCAACCAATTCAGAACAATCTAACAAGACGAGTGTGTCGAGGAGCTCAACAAGTGAAGGTGAGTGTCGGTCCCTTTAAGCTTGTTAACTGAAGACAGGCAGCGCTGTGTGATAAGTGGGTTGGCATGTGTCATATTGGAGCCTGCACCTCTGATAGTCACTGTAATACTGTAATTCCCTTTAATGCCTGATCAGCAGTGCCGCACAAAAGTGAGAGAACAGAGTCACTGCTGACATAGACATTGCCCGTCACACACACCCAGAGACTACACCATTGATTGAGACTGTTTAAAATGTCTTTTTTACTTTACTCATTTGGTGTGTAGTTTGTGAAAAAGCCTGCATGCTTTCTCATGAATGTTGACCCTGATTTTTCCAGGCCAGCTGTTTCGGTCCAGCCTCAACAGTGTGTGCACAACTGCAGACTGTGTTACTGCAGGTGAGGGGAACTGTTTTTTCTTCGCTCGTCCTGCTGTGTCATTTTGCAAACAAAGTTCCCCCCCCCCACCCATCGCTGCAGAAAAGCTGACCAAATGTGGATCTTCATAATCTTGTGTCTCTCTCTCTCCCCCTCTTGTCTCTGCGATACCTAAAAGCTGCTCGGCTCTTGCAGAACATGGATAAGTCTGTGAAGCCATGCGATAATTTTTACCAGTATGCTTGCGGGGGTTGGCTGGAGAGACACGTTATCCCAGAGACGAGCTCCCGCCACAGCGTCTTTGACATTCTGAGGGACAAGCTGGAGATTGTCCTCAAAGGTCAGCTGGGTTTGATCTTTGGTGGTCAGTGGGCCGGAGCATTCAGAGCCATGCGAGCGCTTCATTCACAGATGACATGTCTGCTTGTGTTTTGTTGTTGCAGGTGTTCTTGAGATAGAGAATGAACAGGACAGAAATGCAATCAAGAAGGCCAAAGTCCTTTACAACTCCTGCATGAATGAGAGTAAGACTCTCTTTATTTTGTGCAGTTTGTGTTTTTTTTCCTCAGCCAAGATTTCTGCAGGGTTCAACAAGTTAAATCCAAGACTTTTTAAGCTCTTTTTAATTCCATATAGATTCCATACTGGCCAAAGTAGGAAGGTTTAATGGAAACCAGTAGAGATGAAATGGCCTTAATTATTTCATATTATATCACATTTTTTCCAGTACTTACCAGTATAGAAGTACATGAGATTTAATACTAATTATATAATTTATTCAATTGATGCAGCCTGGACGTGGATGAGTTGTATTGAAATGGATAAATGGATTAATTAAAAAGGATTAATCCATTTGTTTAATATTTTGCTAAAATGCTAAAACACTTGTCTTTTATAAGGCTCTGTGCTTCCGAGCCTCTGAAGCTAGCAGTAGTGACAGTATTTGCTAAAGGTCTGATGTTGCCAACTGAAACTTCCCCAGAGAGGACTGAAGTGCCTCCTGAAGGTCAATCAACTGTCAAAACAATCCCAATTTTTTTTTTTTTTTTTTGAGGAATCAAAAAAATACTCGTCAAGTCTTGCAAATAAAGCTGCACAGTTGTCAAGGGAATGTAGATGTTCTAATTTCCCTTTGAGGACTTCTCGTCCATGTTGGTTCAAAAGTTGAGATTTAAAGTTTATTCTTGTGGTGGGATTGTTTTTGTTAACTGCTGTTTCCAAAGTAAAAAAAAAACATTCAATCCCAATAAGGCATGTTGTCTTACAGAATGAGTGGTATAAAGACGACAGTGTTGTTGTCGTTATGTTTGATAAGTTGTGTTTTTTTTACCTGCAGGCCTCATAGAGCAACGTGACTCCCAGCCCCTCCTGAAGCTCATTGACAGTATCGGAGACTGGCCTGTGGCGTCAGATGCCTGGAACACCACTACAGGTAGAAACACACTCTGATCAATGTCTGCAGCTTGTTCTGTACGAACACATCCACACAAACAAGCACTCATGTTCCTACTCAATAACATGTGCTCGCGCAGAGCCCGTGCAGTTATATTTGGTCTGAATTGTCGAGTGTGAGCTTTGTTGGCGGGATCAAGGGGCCGGTCGAGGCTCTTCAGCTGAGCAGTCATGTGTGGCGTTCGTGTGAGTGGGTAGAGGAGCAGGTCCTCACTCGGGACTGTGAAGGACGCTTTAAATAGTACACGCAGCTCTTCCCCAAGCTCCTGGCTCTCGGCACTTTAATTAAATGTAATCATGGACGGTGGCTCAAACTGAATTAACCACACATTGCTGTATCCGCACACACAGATTTACACAGCCCAGTTAAATGGGCAGCAGAGGGTAGAGAGGGAGCTTGAGTTTTTGCATCCTGCTACATTGAAGAGTTCTTTACAGCTGGATAACTGTTTGAATTATGAGACGTTATTTTGTGCACTTGCAGAGGAAGCATGGAGCCTTGAGGACACACTGGCAAAGCTTACTGCTCATTTCCACAAGAAGGTTCTGCTGGACATGTACGTGTGGACGGACGACCGGGACTCTCGGCGTCACATCATTTATGTAAGCTCACAATGAACAAATTACAGTCATAATGTCATTATACAGTCCGTATGTATCCAACTCCCCTACCCTGTCTGCGGCCGCCAGCTCACACCCATTCATTACACTGAAGATGTAAATCTTGAAAACGGGTCCCAAATACATAGTTTAAGTTTCATAAAAGGCAATATATGGTCCAACTAGTAGTAGCAGCAGATTTGAGCAAACATTAATCAAACAGGAGTACATTTGTTGTAGACCATTTCCAGTGGTGGATTAATACACATTTGGTGTGCTTGGGAGTCTTTAGGACTGGGTATGTGGGATGGACTCGATATAAACTACAGTGGCCTTGTTCATGGCAATGAAGGAACATCCAGCACAACACGGTGGCTCATTGATGTGTTTTTAAACATTTTTAGACGTTTTAGGCGTTACCTACTCAGATAATTCTTCCTTGTGAAATCTGTTCATTGTTGGTTTTGGTCATTTCATGGGACTTATTAACAATAGGAAAAATATAGAATATTGACATCTATATCCTTTAATAATTAAACTGTTAAAAACAAACCAAAATGCTGAGTTGTTATTCTTGGTTACTTTGATTAGATTGACCAACCAGGACTTGGAATGCCATCAAGAGACTACTACTTCAATGATGGAAACTACAAAAAGGTGAGGCCTTCAACGATCAGTTCACCCAAATCACAAAAGAACATATTTCCTGACTTATCATTCTGGTTTTATTTGTACTGGTTTTGAGATATCCTCCACAGTGCAATGAATTAAGGGATTTTGTTTGTGGTGTTTACAGCATGAAAGAACGATAGGCCTACTTTAAAAACTCAACAGCAACTTCTCTTTACAAAATTCAAACTCACAGTTGCTTTGAAACGACTTTCTATTGAAGAACTGTCCACAGTCACGTCTTAATCATCTCTGGTTTTATAAGTCTCTGGATTATCTGTGGAAAACAGTTTATTTTTAGAAAATAATATTTGAGTGGTACAAATATAATTCTACTCACCCCTATTGTTCAAACACCAACTTGATTTTGTTGTGGGAACACAATTTATCAGCTTGTGATTGCACCATAGGTTCGAGAGGCCTACCTACATTTCATGGTTTCTATTGCGAAGATAACCCGAGAGGACAGGAACTTGACTCAGGATGACGACCGTGTGTGGGAGGAAATGATGCAAGTACTGGAGCTGGAGACAGACATCGCCAATGTGAGTGCCAGCCACAACAGGATAATTAATATTGACAAATGAGAAATGAGTACCTCCTCTCTGCTTCCAGTAAATGAACGAACTGGGCTACATTTAGTGTAAACACAGGAGATCAGCCAAGCATATAACCATTTTGTTTGTTTGTCGGTGTCTGGCAAGAGGAGCATGGCGAATGAGACATTGCTGATGAAAAGAGAGCAACATGTGAATATATTTAACCAAGCATGAGTTTATAGAAGGCTTCTTTCTTCTTGTTGCTGGACAGGCCACATCACCAGCAGAGGAGCGCCAAGATGTCACTGTTCTCTACTACAAGACGACACTTGGAGAGCTGCAGAGCACTTTCAGCTTCAACGTATGTATGATTTCACTTCTTTCTTGTGTGTGACACAAAGTGCCAACAGGCCACTGTTTATTGTTAACTTATTACAGATGGTAATCCAAGGTGCCACTAGAAGGCTTGCTGTGAATGTGTCGTTGCTCAAACACATTAAATGGTGATAATATTCTAAAATATTTAGGATGATACAACATGTCAGACTCTGAGACCGTTGTTGTTGTTGTTGTTTTAGGTATTCATCATTTTTAGGAAGCAGACAAGGTACAAAGTATAATAGACACCCCTCATTAAAGTGTTTAAGATGGTCATTGGTTAGCTCTACCTTTTGACTTGGTTCCTTCTTGTGTTTTGTTTAAAAGACGTAGCTGAGTATATTCGACGGCACAACATACTGCATACAGAAACTTGTATATAGATTTAATTAAGCTGCACTGGCTGTGGTGTCATTATTATGAACTTCCCCCACCTCTGTGAAATAATTAGAAAAGTAGCTGGGAACACTTCCATTTAAAACATATTTAACCATATGGTATTTGAACCATATTTAACATGCAAAATGTCTCCTACCTTTTGTTTTCCAGGGTTTTAACTGGACACAATTTATTCAAGGTGTGCTGTCCAGTGTGTCCGTTGAGGTGCAGCTAGAGGAGGAGGTGGTGGTTTATAGTTCCCCTTACCTTGAGAAGATGAACGACGTTCTCTCCAAACACAGTGTCAGGTCCGTCCAAGAGAGCTATGCAAACAGGAGTCCATGAAAATAAAAATGATCACAGAATAGTTACAATTCAGCACAACACTTCAACAAAAAACAATTATGTTTGCAGAACTATGCAGAACTACCTCACCTGGCAGCTCATCTTTGACAGAGTTAATAGCTTAAGTCGCCGTTTCAAAGACGCCAGAGCCCGTTACAGAAAGGTGAGATGAGCTTGACATATGAGAGCAGCACACATTAAAATCAACTCGTTCAAAAACTGAATTGTAATGTGTTGACGGTCTGTGTGCATGTCTGTACGGTCAGACTCTCTATGGGACCACTGTGGAGGATGCATGGTGGCGAGAATGTGTCCGTTACGTCCAGAGCAGCATGGAGAACGCAGTTGGAGCTCTGTATGTGCATGAAACCTTTGCTGGTGAAAGTAAACAAATGGTAAGTCCTTCTGGTCTGTAACCCCCCTGAACATATCAGACACATCAGCTTCCTTAGAGCATGGAAATCAGTTACCAACACAGAGGCAGTTTACTTCAAACTACGAATGCAAGCTGTAATTGTCACATGATGCATTGCTGTTAGAAATTCATGGAATGATGTGCGTTATGTGGCGCTAAATCAAGAAAATGGACTCAGAATAATTTATCTGCCCCATTAATTTTTAACGCTTTGGTGCTCTTTGACATGAAGCGCACTTTTGAAACATCAAATGCATTTTACTGCTTTTCACACACATGATAATTGTGATGGCATTGCAATTCCAATTGTTCCAAATTCATTGTCCTCGCCATGTGCACATACATTATTCATTATGTCGGGTGAACAAAATCTATTTGTTCACAGAATGCATTGTGTTATCTGGGACCGCATAACTATTACATTTTGTTTCTGAATGGGATTGTGATTACACTGTTCTCAGGTCAGTGACCTTATCGGTAAGATCCAGAAAGCGTATGTGGAAACACTGGAGGAGTTGAGCTGGATGGATTTTCCCTCAAAGGAGAAGGCAAGAGAGAAGGTAAGTATACAACCAAGCTGAGAAAATAAGGGTATATCTCTAGATGTTCCCTATTACCATAATTATTGTTCTGCACGTCATGTAGGCCATGGCAATCAAGGAGCATATCGGCTACCCGAATCATATCCTGCAGGAAAGCAACCAGAAGCTTGACCAGGAGTACGCTCATGTAAGTAAGAGCTGAGTCTGTTTCCAAGTGGTGCTGGAAAAAAGCTGAAATATGTCACTGATCTCTCATTTTTTTCTAATGTCTCATTCCAGCTGAATTTTAGTGAAGAGCACTACTTTGAGAACATCCTCGAGAACCTCAAGTCTGAAGCACACAAGAGTCTGAAGAAGCTCCGGGAACCAGTTGACCCTGACTTGTAAGCTGTTGATGTATCTGACCTTATCAGTAAGACTTGTAATCAGGTGGTAACCATGATTGCTGATTGCTCTCAGTGAAATCTCATGACACAAAATGTCATGGAGACAACACACACACAAACCCCCTTTAATGAGGTTGATAAGAGACAGTCATACATTTTTGCTCCATCTTACTGTTTCCAAGATAGTAAACAGCCTTGTCAGCCAAAACATTATTACAATTATTTTCTAAAATGGTGCATTGAATGTCTCATAGTAACAACAGAAATGTACTCTGTGTTTTCATCAAATATACCCCGAAGAATATTGAAAAATGAAGGTCTAAATATTTCAAGGTGCAAAATATGCTCTGTTCATAGATTTTACAGCATAGTGTCTTCAAATGAAAATGCAGTTTAATGCTCTTTTATCAATAATAAACCAATCACTCCTCAGGTGGATCATTGGTGCTGCTGTGGTGAATGCATTCTACTCACCCAACAGAAACCAGATCGGTGAGAGCTTTGCCTCTGTGGACAAATAAGACATGTTTTTTTAGGGTAGCACAGTTAGTTACACCTCAGTGTAATCCTGTTTACTGTTGCCAGTGCTTAATGTGTTTTCCCTCCTGCTGTTTTTGTTGCTTGTCCAGTGTTCCCAGCAGGAATCCTGCAGCCGCCTTTCTTCAGTAAACATCAGCACCAGGCCCTTAACTTTGGTGGAATAGGAATGGTTATCGGACATGAGATCACACACGGATTTGATGACAACGGTGAGACATGAATGATTCATCGTGGTTATTTTCAGCTGTTTATCATTCACTTTTTAGATGCATCACGTTTGTGCAAACAGTACTTTACCTCATGCGTTATGTTTCCTCACAGGGCGCAATTTTGACAAGGATGGTAATATGCTAAACTGGTGGAGTAATTACTCTGCTGAGCATTTTAAGGAGCAGTCCCAGTGCATGGTGCAACAATATGGCAACTTCAACTGGAAGCTTGCGGGTGGACAAAACGTAAGTACCCAGAGACATGTAATCCCAGTCAATGTCAACCATGTATTAAGTGACCACCAGAATGAGTGTTTTCATGTCGGTGTGTGTGTTCATGGTTTCGTCTGTGTGGCTGCAGGTCAGTGGAATCAGCACTTTAGGGGAGAATATTGCAGACAATGGAGGCGTTCGTCAAGCATATAAGGTTGGATGATGCCCAAAACCACATGTTACTATTCCAGAAGTCCAAAATGTTTAGCTAGCGTGTGTTGTTTGTGTTTACAGGCTTATCTAAAGTGGGTGGAGCTGGAGGGTGAGGAGCCTCGTCTACCTGGTCTAGACATGGATCACAAGCAACTTTTCTTTCTCAACTTTGCCCAAGTAAGTAAGAATAATGAGGGGATGGTGGTTGTATTATTTCAGCAGACAATGATTTCTCCATCTAGAGAGCCTCCAAAGGCCAGGAGGTGCATTTTTTAGTGGATGTTTGCTGCTGAGAAGTAAACACTGGGGCCAAGGGAGAGGGTCAAAGGGTGAGAGGCTGAAGCAATCCCAGAGCAAATCTGTGTTCAGATACACACACACACACACACACACAGAGGGGGTGAAGAAGAGCAGATCAGTGACAGGAAATGTAAAGCATAAGCAGAAAACTATCATTGACAATGAAACAGGTCAAATGTTACAAGTATTCCAAATGATTCCCCATTGTGATATTGAATTGTGAAAAAGTGAGGTTGGCACATGATCAAAGTAACGTGGGCCAAACAAGAAAAAGGATTAGATGCAAAGTGCTGTAAATTTATAGTATAAACAGGACTCATATTTGAAGTAAAATACAAAATGTGTAGCACCTTCTTTTAATGAGTGCGTTTGAAAGTAGATTACTCTCCACTCGTGGAATCACTTTTTTTTTCCTAGGTGTGGTGTGGTGCTTATCGGCCTGAGTATGCCAGCCAGTCCATCAAGACTGACTCACACAGTCCCTTGGAGTACAGGTAGGAGCTTTAGCATGTTCATATATACTGTATATATATATATATATATATATATACATACAGAACCAATAAGAATATTTTAACAGGTAGTTTGATTGGTTTAATTGTAACTTACCTGGAAGTACATTGTGGTATGTTTTCACAATCATCAGTAAGAAACAGGCGCTCTGTTTGTAAAGCCGTATGATCAGCTTTCTGCTGAATTGACTGTTTTAACTGGTTTAGAACTGAGAATCTGTGGGAAACTCTTATTCTACTAACTGTGCTAAACTCAAAAAAGTTCCTGTAGCTTTCATCATGTGTTTCAGTTTCAATTATTCCATATTGATAGTTTTGTGATTTTTGTATGTTCTTGTTATTGTAGGTTTAAAGTCTGTGTAATGTCAAATCTGAGATTTGTTTCTAAACGCATTAGACAAGTTAAAAGATCATTTTGTGTGTCTCCTCACCAGCCCTCTTCCTGTGTGCCTGTCATTCGATGTGTGCATGAAAACACAACTCAATTAAGTGTTATAATCAGCAGGTCCATTTGCTGATCCCTGATAAAAAGACTTGGAAGCTGGACCTCATGCATAACACGTTGAAGCTTTTGTCATATAATGTCTTGTTTTTCTTTTGTCTTCAGGGTGCTTGGATCTCTCCAGAATTTCGAAGCCTTCTCAGAAGCTTTTCAGTGCCAAAAGGGCAGTCGAATGAACCCCAAGCAGAAGTGTCGTGTCTGGTAGAAAGTTTTATTCTTGAGAAATGTTTTTCTTGACTTGGGCAACTCAAATCAAAAGAACAAGTTGTGCTCCTTAAACCCACAGAGACATACTGCTTATTATCAATTTATTTTGGGATTGTGATAACAGATATTTGCAAATGCTGTAGATAGAAATACAAATGGATGTCATCCTGGACTACATTCTAGTTTCAAAGCACATACACAGTACATATAGACTTATGACAAGAAACTTGCTAAAGTACCTCCCCAACTCTCTGGATGAGTAGGTCACTTGTTCTTTCGTGTCCCACGGCAGATGACGAGTGGGTACGTGAATAAAAAGGCCACATGGAAAACTAAGACCTTGTGGAAAAGGTTAAAGCTTATGCGGCTGGCTTTGAATGCTTAGCCTGCCTTTTTGAATTAATCCTTAAAAAAATATCTCGTGCAGATCTTTGTGATTTATCCGTTCTCATTTGGCACGGAGCTGCCTTGGTGTCGTTCCTCTGATGTATTGTTTTCAAGACAGTGTGCCACTTCAGAAGAAACAATAGTGAGCAAATCTAACTCTGACTGAAGAGTATGAAATAAATGGACGCTCGGGGCTTTGCCGAAGTAGAGCTACAATAGAATTAGTCACACTCTAAGAGTTTGTTCATTTACTATAACATGAAACAAATTACCTAAAGACTTTAAGACTGTTAAATCTTTGCAGCTTTAACCTTAAATTAACATTCTAAGAGAGCTGCGGCTTTCAACATTTTTACACTTACAGAGTGGATAAATATTTAAAATTTACAAAGCTATTAAGTACTTTTTGGAGGATATTTCTTTTTTCTGTTTCTTTATCATGTCCTGCAAATGATTGTTGCTCAGTACTCACTGCAGAAATGTATACGTACATATGTCATGAACGTTTTCCTGTTAGAAACCATATTCCAGATGTTTTGAAAAATACTGGTGGCCTGCAACCTTTTTTAGCTAGTGAGAAAACATGTGTTGGAGATGGAGTGATGTGATAATGATAAAAACAAACAATGTATATCACATTATTGCATTAATAGTTACTGCCAAGTCTAGATACATACAGTAGGTTAAGTGTTGTGTGTTTGAAGCTCACTCCCTCTCTTTGTTCTGCTTCCACACATGCAACCTTTTACCACATTTTGACTGAGAGGTTATATAAAACTTCTAACATTTGTTAGATGGCACTTACCTTCTTTAGTGAGTATTATAATGTCCGCTTGTATCATATCTGTAAGTTTACATTTAAGTCGACATGGTGATCGATATGTAGACAAACTGTTAGTTCCTTCACCACACAATCTCCTGAGAAGAGACACAATCACACAGTGATAACAGGACTTTTAGCCTCTGGTAAAGCCAATCACATGCTAAGGGAGAATAAAAACCCCTCACACACACACACACACACACACTCACACACACTCACAGGCAGCAGCTGAAGTGGTTTGTCCTCTGATCTCGCATTGATCAGTGCTGTGTAAGATTAAAGGATGAAGTGCGGTGTGCTGAAGCGTGGTGACCGCTGTAGCCGAGCCACGAGCCACGAGCCGCGGGCAGACACACACACTGAAGTATGGGGCTTGTCATTAAAGAGATGGCCGGGGCCAGGACTGTTATTTTCTACCTTTATTAACAAGTAATGACAGGAGAATCAAAGCAGAGCAAGACTCAGAGGAGAAGCACTGGCGTGTTTGTGCTGAGGAGAGCCTTAAAACACAGCAGAAAAACAAAAAACACAAATCCAGTTCTGAATGTTTGCTCGTCTTTAGTCACATTCAGTATGCCTTGGAAAACGGAACATGACTTTTAGGTCTCAACAGAGGCCGATGAATTGAATGTGCATATTGAAGCTTTACTCTGAGTCTGTCTCTCAGTCTTTGCATATTGGCAAATACTGTTGTGTTTAGCAGAGGGAGAGGACACGGTACACTCAGAATGTAAGTGGTGATAGTGTGATGCCATCTTAAAGCTTGACATTGTGAGGGTTAAACACTTGGATGAGGAAATGTCTACCACTCTCATATCTGTTTTTTTTTTTTTTTTAATATGAAGCTACAGACAGCAGATGGTTAGATTAGCTAAGCATTAAAACTAGAAACAGGGTCTATGGTTACTTTGCACAGCAGCTGGATTATTGCAATGTAACAAGATCACGTATGCACCGCGGGATCATATATCACATACAAATCCAACTTGTCAGGCTTCAAGTAAAGCGTTTGTGTTCGGTAAGCCAGAACAAGGACCAATCAGCGTCCTCTGAGGCGCTACTGGCAGCTACGGCAGTGGCTTAGGTGTGTGTGAGACGACACAACTGTGTGTTCTAAACAATTGCGGCTCCTAAAGAGATTAGCGTAGATACCGAAATAGCATCAGTTGTATCAAAACTGGAGAATATTTATTTATTGGAACAGGACCAAATAACGACACTGAAGGCTTTTCTCTATGGAAAAGATGTTTTCGCGCTTCAGTCTCCAATGATGGCCTCTCAGAAGGTTCTATGTAACAAACCATCTGGTAGGTCGGGTGAGGTCCGCGGGACCAGACTTTAGATTTTGGCATTAAATAACAAACTGAACCTAAAAAAGGGAAATATTGGCATTGAAATCCTTAAAACAATTGTATTGGAGAATCTAACACCTGTTCCAGCGGCCCTCTGCCAAACTGTCAGCGTAAAAGAAGACTGAGATGAAAAAATAAAATCAGAAGATAATCATTGAAAAGTGTGTTACCCTCATTCTTTGTTGGAAGATTGTTTTATTTTTTTTGTTGAACTTTTTTTCAGTGCCAATACAACTTTTAGTTTCAATGCCAAAATCTAAAGTCACTGTCTCGGCTCCATACAAGTCTGGTTCTCTTCTACAGTAACAACATCTGCCTTCCAGCAACACTAAAACTGTTCCTCCCAAAACATTACAAACTGTACATACAACTCACCTCTAGGCATTCTATGGTCTTCTGTCAAATGGCGCTCTCCTTAATACGATGGCATATTAGGGCCATTGTAGGTTAAATACAAAATGTGGGAAACAGGGTCGGATGGGTCATGAATTTAAAAGAAAAAAAATAATATTTTCTGATATTGAAATCACAAATTTCAGAGAGAGAGAGAAAAAAAAAGTTTTTCGATAGCAAACTTTATCTGGGAACATATAGAGAGCCTGGGGAGGGGACAGGATCCACTTATATCGTTTTTGGGTGAACTATTCCTTTAATATGTTGTATCTCAATTGTACATCAATTTGAACAAAAGCCTGTGTAAAAACAACAATTTCCCATATATGCTGGACTAATATGAGTTTAATACAGACTATACATGTTGTTTCCAGTGGACTGAATCAGGATAGCTGTTTCCCCGTTTCTAGTCTTAGTGCTAAGCTAACCGGCTGCTGGCTTTAGCCTTATTTTTTACAGTCAAAACAATCGAGAGTGGTGTCAGTCTTCTCATCTCACTCTCCTCCCGTCTCACCCCAAATGTCAAACTATTCCGTCGGTAAATCGTACGCTACAGATTTGTCCTGGGCAACAGCTTCGACTCCTTATTTTGTCTGTTATCCTCACAAGGAGTAAAACTGCTCAAAAATGTTAACTGAACATAAAAGGGTACATCATATACAATGTGTTATTGTAGATACTTGATGTTCTATACTGCAGTATTTACATATAAAGGAATCAAACCAGGTAAGAAAAGAAGCGTACATTTCTTACCTTAGTTCTAGCTTCACATTTACGTACATGGTGACATTGTGTCGTTTTGAAATTACCAGCCAAGTACAAATACATCATTGTTATATTTGAACATGTTTTATCTATATACCCATCAGAAGAGTTTATTTATCTACATACATATTTATGAAATAAGATTGTTGCTTTGCAAGAATTCAGACGTTAGAGTTTTTATTATTTGTTCCTTCTGCTATGTAATTATCTAGATTGCCATTAAAGTGACTGTCTCAACCAAGATCTCAAGTCTCTACGTCATTTTTATTGAATATATTTGTACAAAAACAAAATTGTCATCTGAAGTGTTTTTTTAATGCTTCTTGACATTTTAGTTCATTATAAATTCTATTTATGCATTCGTGATACTGTAAACCCCTAAGAGCACTCAAAGGCACTATGTTTATCTGTATGCATGCAGAGTCACACCATCTAGTCATGCTTACCAATCAATTAGTATAAACATGTATGTGACCACGTCAGCAGACACCATAATATTAATAACTTTCAATAGTAAAATGCTACATCAGCAATACATGTCTAGTTCTAATAGGACAGATGTTGAGTTATGATGGCGCGTAAGGACTACTTAGGTGCCACGTTTTGAGAAATTTGTCCAAAGAATCAATTGCACAAAAATTATACATTTCAAGCAAGTGTGTGACTCTGAGGCGACGGCATCACCATCACAAAAAACATTTTATTTTTAATCATATCTCACAAAGTTGAGAGACACTGGAGGTTAACAAAAATACGTTATTCTAGTTTTAAGTCTCAGGTCAACACATTGAAGGAGAGTCAACACAGCAGTGGATATAAAGTGAAGAAGTCGAGTAAAGAAAACTCTGTGGTCTTGTGATGGAGCCACTATAGTTTTTCATTATTAATGTCTTTAACAATTGATCTATCATATCTTCAGTATAGCTCTGTCAAGTTAGAGACCTCACCTTTTATTAAAACTCCACTGGAGGCTGCATGAAACTGCTCATTGACTGAAGCAAAGAAACGTTTTTAAACTTTTATTATAATTTATACATATAAATGATTCATCTATTTTATAAACTGATTGTAATAAATGCAAATTCATAAAAAGCCAATATTAGCTCAAGTTAAAAAAAATTCACATACAATTAAACGTTAATAATGAAAGGAATGTCCCTGATGCTTTCACTGCAGACAATACAATTACATATGTGGCTGTCACAAATAACTTACAAGCAATTAAGAAAATTGGCTGTAGTTTTATGGTCACGTGTTGCTGACATTCCACTTCAAATCTTCATTTTAGCTTTTCGATTTGTAGATATTCTTCTGGTATGATGTGCAGCTGTCCTCATCGTGTACAAACATCATCATTGCACTGCAAGAGAAGGTACAGGAGAAGTCAAGTCAGTTTTATTTATATAGCCTAATATCACAAATTTAAAATTAGCCTCAGAGAGCTTTACAATCTGTACATCCTCTCTGTCCTTTGACCAATCAGATGAGGACAATGATCGCCCCCCAAAAACATATTTGATAAGGGAAAAAAGAAAAGAAAGAAACCTAAAGAAAAGCAACTGAGGAGGGATCCGTCTCCCTGGACAGACGTATGTGCAGAGAATAATTACAGTATAGACAATCTATATGAAAACATGATACATAGAATTAAACATATATGAAGAAAAAGGATCCGGGAGGATGTCAAGCAAGGTAGGTAAGGTTGAACAGCAAGTGTTTCACTATATAATGCAAGAATATGGATTGCTGTATGATCACGCATTGCCCGCTTCACTGAATTAAAACATCTGTTCTATGGATCCCAAGTCTCTGAAATAAAGTGGAAGAAATTGTGTACAGGAAAAAATAAAATATTTTATTCTCTTTTTTCCAGGGACAATGCAGATCAAATGGGATATTTTTTAATGAGCTAGATTTAGCATAACAATAATGTCTCTGGTTTCATGTCTATTCCCCAAACGCTCATGTAAAAAACTTTTAAAGATTTTTTGGGCATTTTGCCTTCACAAAGTAGAAAGGCAGTCAGGAAACATGGTGAGAAACAGGATCATAATGAGGATGTTGCGGGTAAGTATTTGTGTCGACTCGGCCACCATGAAGCCCAATGTTGGCGACTTTCCCAACTTATCTGCGAGTTACGTACAGATAAGGTGATAGCTGAGTAGCACTCCAATCATAGGACAGGGGCCCATGTTAGACGAAGTGTTAAACACGTCTTGTTTATGGGGCCTCAGAATCATTGTGCTGAAGTTAAGATACAGAGTTTACTGCACAGAAATGTAGTGAAGTAAAGTAAACAGAAGTAAACAAGCTATATCAGCTGTTTGAACAAGAAAGGTCTGACCAAGAAGACATTCGTTCGTATTATCCGTACCAGACGATAACTTCACTCTGGCATCAAGGCTTCAACTTTTTCCGGGCCTCTTCCACACAAACAATGTCAGATAGCTTGTGACTCGTATTCGTTTCTGCCACCTTTTGACCCCTCGGAAATAAACGAGGACTATTCTATCCCGGGGCTGTGTGGCGATGACATTCGTTTGGATCATGGGGAAGCCATACTGTACATGCTGCAAAAGCTCTGACATGGTGGGTCTTGTGGGAAGCGAGCAACAGAGCCAGGGGGCGTGGGCGTTGAAGACCATGTGCTGGATGTCGTGGGCATGCTGAGAGCCCCGATGATCACAGGACAGAACCTCTGGTGCTCTGGACACAAGATATTAAGTCCATGACCCCTGAACGATTTCTCTCTTAATTGGATTTTAAGGCACAAAATCTATGCCTACATCCGTGTCTGTCAATCTTAGATACCAAAAACATTATTGAAATACCTGGCTCTAATGCGTTATGTGCAAATACTTTTACACATAATACTGTAGTAATTAGAATGCGTATAGGGCCTTTGTATAATAATCTCAACCGTTTGTGCTCGCAGAGCATTTGTAAGTGCAACTACGTACAGACTGATAACATCAGTCAAAGGTTTGGGGGGGCTGATGACACAGACACTGACGGACCATGAAGATGGAGTAATAAGTGTGAAAAAGCTTCTCTGATGCATGTGTTGCTACTGACGCACAACAGTCGGCTGGAAGAAACCGATGAAATGACATCAGTTCAGTGTGGTTTAGTAAACACAGTGATACCATTGTATTTAACTATTCACCATGCAGCTTAAAGTTCACTCAAAAGGTGAAGAGGGGGAGTAAAGAAGACAGCGGAAGGAAATGAATAATGGCAGATGGTAAATAGTGTTATGGGATGTCTTACCACTGACATCTGTCCTGCTTTTGCTTTGGATGAGATACCCAACGCTTTGGAAATATCCTCCAGAGGTACGTGGTCTCCTGGTGAATCCTGGATAAAGTGCAAGAGGACCTTTTCTCCACCTTTGTAGGGCAAAATATATTTTTGGAGAAATCAGCTCAGGAAGCAGCTTGCTGACTTTATCCAATTACAATCAAAGATTATTATGAATGTGCTTTGGTGAACTCATGACTCATAAAAGCAGTTATAAAACACAACACAGAGTTCAATTCAATATTGAATGCATATTTCATATCCAGGTGTTGCTGGTGATAAAAAAGAGACGAACAGATGAAAGAGAAATAAGTCCTGTGCAATAAAGTTTGGTTTTACTTCTAAAGCTTTAATTAAAAACGTTTGAGTAGTTAAGAACTAAATAGTCTCAGATGTATTGCTAAAGCTCCTTCTAGCCGTTAGGCGCTCAAAGAGGAGTAACACTGGCTGAGAACTGTCTCCAATAAGGACTTTTGGTGGAGCCAAGATCAGGACAGAATGACCTGCAATCTACTTCCTCCAGCTGATTTCTTCCCATGAGAACAAGCTGCCCATAAAAGAGAGCACACTAGTAGATGTGGTTGAATCTCATTTTAGTTTTCCTACTGCTGTGCTGTAAATTATTTTTGGTCTGACTGTGCCTCTCCACTCCATGTTAAACATGTCTCTTCTGTATCCAACACACAACTGTACATTTGGATGGTTAAATTAATTGAGTAGTGTAATCTTTATACTTGTGTGGATAGGAGAAATAAAAGACGTGAGGAAAGTCGACGGCCCTGGAGAGCACTGAAGTAGTTAGAGGGGGAGGTGTGGTTTGAGCTACAATGATGTGATGCAGCATTGCCCTCTAGAGGAGAGACTGCAAAAATGCATTGCTTTGACCATTTATATACCCAACTAATACCCCCTCTGGTGCGTTTTGACTGTACCTTTAGACACAATAAGCATGCCTCCGGTCTGGAGCAGATCTCCTGAGAAGTTTCCCTTGATGCCTTCAGCATTGGCCTGCACACAGCACAGAAAACAGTCGGAGTGTCAAAGTGTCAATCAGGGTCTCAGCAACCTTACCCCTTCTCCTGCGACCATACATATGAGCCGTGAAGTAATTATATAGCCGTGAAGCTACATACCTTTGCAGCTGCATCTCGTACTTTCTTCCCCAAAGCAGCAGGTACCACATTCAAGGCTGTGTATCTGAGTGTGAAGACACGCGGTGTTCTCAATTACAAGGCAGCTAATATTTCACAAAGGAGAGAAGATTAGCATGAGCGGTACTAGCTAATACCCCTATCATATTTGATAAATTGATTAATCGTTATGCGATTGAAGTTAAGATCATCTTTGACAAATTAAACATAAATCAGCTTCTGCATTACACAAAGGGAATGTGGATTTACTCACCTTTTAAAGCCCAAATCCTTGAAGCTTGTCTTGTGTTCATCAACATAAATGGCTAAAAGAAGATGATGATAGATCTGGCTGTTAAAAGTGATGAGTTTAATAAGCGTGTCTGAATTGTGACTAGAGATGCAGCGATACAGCTGTCAGCCCGATACCGACTCAAATAGCTGGATCTGGTGTCGGGTACCAGTATTTTAATAAACAACATTTCAGTACATTTGTGTCTATGCATTTATATGTTACATTACATTTAGTTTTACAAAGCTAGGAAAGCAATGTTTTAATCAAGCCTGCATGTTGCCTTACACATAAAAGAATGATCCCAGTCTCGTCCACACAGTGAGACACACAGCTAAATAATTAAACACTGTTATTGGATCTGTACTCGATTTCATCCGAAACCCATGGTGTCGGTTTCTGGACTGAAAAAGTCAAGTCGGTGGATCCCTACTAATTTTTCTGCTACATAGTTTGGTTGTGCAAGAGTGACGATGCAGCTATTCAAAAGTTACAACGAGCTAAGTTGAAGTAAAACGATGCAGATTTTTTTTTTTATACCTGACTAGAATTTATATTCATATAGGTGCTAGGTATGTGAATATGACAATAGAGCAGTGTGTGTCTTAGATGAGTAAGTACTGCTTACATCCTTTGAAGAACCCTCCTTCCATGAACTCCTTCAGCCCAAACTCCTCTGGTCCGACCCCCACCAGCGCCGCACCGCCGGCTCTCAGGTCCGGCTCTAGCTTGCTGATCTCTGTCGCCATCCACCGACACACCTGACAGCCAAACCTGCGCAGGAAGAACAACACCACCGGCTGATCCTGCCACAGGGACTGGAGCTCTACACTCTGAAACACACACATAGAGGGGGAAAGAAAGACTCACCGTGAAGCCACAAAAAACATGCAAGGCACAGGTGGCAAATAAAAAGGAAAAGGCATAGATAGATCCTACTCATCTGTGAAATCACACATCATAGATTCGAACAGAGCAATATCATGATTTGAATTCACATGCGTTTCACCATGTCATCATTATGTCAACCCTTGAGGCTTCATTTGACACCAATTATGTCAATGCTGTGAGGTAATGGCAGGTTTAATGCAGCAGGTCTCAGCGGGGATTCTCTGTGGGGAACCAGTCAATCTAACAGCACGACTTTAGAGTCAAAGAGAGCACTTTTAAATACAAAGCAATCGACCGAATGACGTTACGAAATATGAGGAAAGGTCAAAGGAGTGCAATTAGCTTTCTAACCAAACCGTCGCCTATAGCTTCACAGCTTACCTCTCCAGTTTCACCCCTCTTTAACAAGTTCTTTCCGAGTTGAACGAGGTCGACGTTTGCCATTTTCTACGGTTAACCTCCACTGACTGCACCGGCTGAACAAAGCTACAACAAAGGTAGAGTTTTCCTTCAGAGTATAATCGTATAACGTTGCAGTAGTAGCAATATATAAGTAACGCCCGCACAACAGTTGCAAAACATCTGTATCCGGATACGCCCACTGAGCACTGACGTCCAATCAGAATCTGTTGTCGCTGAAAGCCAGCCAATTACAGCACGCGGTGTGTGTGTGTGTGTGTGTGTGTGTGCGTGTGGAATGGAGGCGGAGCTTCGGAAGGGAACTGTCTGCACGTGCATCTTACCTTTTCAAATCAACCAATACTGAATTTTTCATAAGAGCAAACATCAGCTATTTTATTGATATTTTTTTCTACATTTACTGGTTTCTCACCACTAGCACCACACATGAAAACAGTTTAAACATGAACTCAAAGTGGTGACTGATTATTGAACATATTCAGCTTTTTATAATGCAGGCGTAAACAAGGTGTGTACAGGTGAGCTCAAAGGTAACACGGTTTATTGCATGGCCTTTGTTTGCTTTTTATAGCTGCTGGTTTGCTCCATCTGTCTGTTTTCTATTAACCCCTGAGCCATCCAGAGCCATTTGGTTCTGCTGTTTTAACCCGGTTGACACTTGTGGTGGAAAATGTAGCCTACTTAACTGTACTTTTATACTTACTTATACTCCATTTCAGAATCAAATATTGTTCTATGTTTACTATACTACATTCAAACATCTATTGTTAGTTACTTTGAAGATCAAGATTTTAGCATACATTAAAAACATGTTTCCATTTTTGTCCATAATCAAAAATGTAAATAATTTTACAAATACACACATACAAGATGAGCCTGCTGTCAGAGGTGGCCCTTAAATCACACAAGTATTTCTACTGGTGCATCCTGATATAGTATATGAAATGAAATCAAGGTATCTAGAAGTTTTATTTATATATTGTAATATTGTTAACTATCCATCCATATATCTATCCATCCATCTCAGAAAGTTCAACAAAATCCACTTGGAAGAGAAGAGGGCATGAAAATCAACAGCTACCTTTAGCCTCACAGCAATCTGCCCCTCTACTGACACACCTTATCTGCCTTGCCTTACTGGAACCTACAATCTACTCAGGTTTCCATAAGGTTAGCCAAACCATTCAACAACGAATTCAATGCACACCCATGGGTGCATTTACTGCATGTCATATAGCAGGACAAGCACAGGTGTAATTGATCAAATTAAAAAAGGACTGAACTCTATTTCGGTGAGCTAGTTTCAGGATTGTGGAATTGTCACAGCTTATGGGACATAAGTTAAGATACATGGGTTGATGGAACTGACACCTCGTTAATGAAATTGGTGTCACCTTTGCTTTTCCGGACAAATCCTCCTCCCTTCTACACATTGACAGTGCTCTCTCACCAGACCTAATCATGCACACCTGTTTTCACTATCACTGAACAGAAGATGCATGAATTAAATACACTAGTTATTTTTCATATAATGGCTGAATTAAAATTGTATTGCTAATGTTATATTACAGTCTCCTCTTTTTTTACACTTCAAAGATGTATTGGTTGTATTATGTGTTTCATTGATCTTGCATGTCTTGACTTTATAAGTTTTACTTATTTGAGTGACAATATTATTCTAAATAATTTTTCATCACATATTGCATACATACACATTATTTAACAATTAATTGTTTCTGAGAAAAATGTATCCCAGCTTTCCCGTTTGGCCGTAAAGAAGCTATATGGTTGTAAAAAAAGCGCGCTATTCTGCACTATTTGACAATTTCATAATCTGTATGCAGCTTGTTTCTTCTCCATTTACTTTCTATGATGTTTAGACAGTGAAGCATTCAAACCCACCATTTTAATGAATATTCTAGATGTCTTTGTCCCTCACACTATGCACATTTCCCCAAAGTGCAGCCTGAAATATGTGGTATCTTTTAAACCTTAAGGATTGACTAGAATTTAAAATAAACTTGTGGAAGTTTGAACAATGTTTAGCTGCACAACATGAGTTTGTAATGACTGAGGTTTAAGGTGTTAAACAACTGAAGACCGTCTAGTATTACATATAATCTGTTTATTGTTCTGGAGGCATTTACCCCAATAAGTGAAGCATGTGTTTTAGGTTTATAAACACATTTTACAAAGTGCTTGCAAGAGAAGTATATATCTGTGCCCCTTTAAACACAACGAATATTCAGTCAATAAACATAATTTACTGACTATTATCATCTTACTTCAGCTCTGAAGTACACTATATTCAAGTAGATGGACGGACAGTTGTTTTTTTCAGCGGTGAACGTCCGCGGTGCTGATGTTGCAGGGAGGGACGTGACGTCACGGGAGAGACCGGGATGAAGAGGCGAATGAGGAGATGAGAAGAGGGGGAAGGAGAAGGGACGGAATGAGAGAGCGGGGGGATGACTGCATGAAAAGGGGGGAAAAAAACAAAAAAACAAAAACAAAACAACAATCATGACTCCCGTAATTCATCCTTCGTTCTTTTATAAATCACAATGCGTGGTCTGTTCACCTAGTATGCTGCAATAAATGACGAGCCTCCCCGATAAGGTAATTATCCTCTTTCGCGTTTCAATTTGCACGCCTGCATCATCTTCTAACACAGTTAAGTCAATTGTGTGGTCTTCACATTAAGGACCAAATGTCAATTCGAGGATAATATCGAGGATTATTAGAAGAAAAGACGGAAAAACCCCCAATCGATCGGCTACCTGGCTACATGTAGGATCTATAGTCAAATGTTTAGTTTAAATCGGAGCGATAATGATACGTAATCCTTGTAACTACCTCGAAAGCCATCATTGTGACAATCAGCGGCTCCATTGTAACCGATTTGAGCTTCCTCCATGAAATATTAAAATGGAAACAGCTTCACGAGAGCGCTGCCGCATACTACCCTGCTGTAGTCAGCCACGCCGAGCACATGGGTTTTGCGCACACCACTAGCATGCGCATTGGTTGCAGTGCGGCATGCCCATGATCGCTGTGCCATCGCTGTCTTCTGATGACTGCAGTGTCCTGGTGGTAGCACTACAGAACCATCAGCAGCACTAAGTTACTCACGTGACCACCATGCTACTTATGATGATCTTGAATGACCTCTAATGTGTAAAATCAACCCCATACTAGTCTGAACTTAACAATGTGTGTCACCCTTATGTATGCTACAGTGTAAGCTGGCTTGAGAGAAATGTCATCTCCGGGCATGGGCACCCCCAGTGACCCCCTTTTGGCCAGTCCAGGAGGGAGGTTACCCACAGCTCAGGAAGGTCTCTGGAGGAGCTCACTCTCCAAAACCGCCAGCTTCCCAACGTCCACCACCCGGCACCTCAGTCACCGAGCCAACAACTTCCAGAGACAGCCAAAGCGCCCGAAGCTGATTAGACCTTCACCACCTCCGCCGCCCAACACACCCTGTCCCCTGGACCAGCTGGACCTCAGTGAGCTTCCCCCAAGGCGTACCTTCCAAGAGCTGCTCTTCAATGGCTGCGTACTGTTTGGTATTGAATTCAGCTATGCCATGGAAACGGCTTATGTGACTCCTGTGCTGCTACAGATGGGCTTGCCTGATCAATTCTACAGCCTGGTGTGGTTTATTAGCCCCATTCTGGGTAAGTGAACAGCAAGGCAGGGATATATGATACATTCTCTTGTGATTTTGAGTATAGCAATAAGTTTTGTACAGTACTTATTAAGACTCTAACTTCGTCCTCTGTCTTTGGTATGAAGGATTCCTCGTTCAGCCTCTCCTTGGAGCATGGAGTGATCGTTGTACGTCCCGGTTCGGACGACGAAGACCTTTTATTTTTGCCTTGGCTATAGGTAAGAAAAGTATTGTGCCCAGTCAGTACAATACTAAATGTCAGTATGTATGTAAGTATACTTGTGAAAAGTTGGGGGACTTAAGAGAGACAGATTAATGGTCAAAACTGATGCAACAGAGGCTAAGATATCCTGACTTTTTGTCCATATTATGACATGGCAGGATTCTATACTTCTCGTAATGCAACTCAAATACACATCTTTTGTTAGATCTTTCCTGCCTGGTTATTGCAAATGTCTCCCAAACTTCACAGCCCAGTTATAAACGGGTTTACTGTTAATATTTGCATTTTATAAGCCTCGTTGATGTGACATTAATATTTGGCAAAGCTCCTCCAGAGCCACAGAAGACATTATACAACAGCTTTGCACTGCTCTCCATGCCTAGTAAATTGACTGTAAACTCAGAGGAGGGTAGGTTAACTCTCACCTGCAGAATTTTCAGTTGAACCTTACTTTCCTCCTTCTTAGGGGCTCTGTTTGGTCTAACCCTGGTGCTGAACGGGCGGGACATTGGAGGTGCGCTGGCTGACACTGCATCCAATCACAAGTGGGGAATTATCCTGACGGTGTGTGGTGTGGTCCTGATGGACTTCAGTGCAGATTCAGCCGACAACCCGAGCCACGCCTACATGATGGATGTGTGCAGTCCAGAGGACCAGGATCGGGGGCTGAACATCCATGCACTACTGGCAGGTAAGAAAACACTTTACACAGTACAAACTCAGGGTTGCTTTATCATTACACAGTGGAAGCTATAACTTATATTCATTATAATTTGGAGAAAAGAGACCCAAAATAAAGCTTTAAGACATTACCAATGTATTTTTTGTTGTTTCTTAATCTTGCTCTGCAGGACTAGGAGGGGGTTTTGGCTACATCGTGGGTGGCATCAACTGGGACCAGACACAATTTGGAAGGTTGATGGGAGGTCAACTGCGGGTCATATACCTGTTTACGAGTATCACTTTGGTGTTCGCCACAGCCATGACTCTGTTGAGTATCCCCGAGCGGCCGCTACCAAAGAACAAAAACTCCAGCAAAGCTCATCTAAAAAGCCCCAGCCTCGCCCTTCCTCCCTCTCCTCCTGTTCCCCCAGCTTTGGGACTGGATGAGGAAGACGAGGAAGGTCTTTACAGCTACAATTTTTCAACGTCTCACCCATATAACTCTGACCATCTTGCCCATTCTTGCAGTGCCAATGCAAGGCTCTGTGCTGGCCTCACTAGCCCCATATCGCCCATGAGCCCCCTCACTCCGAAATATGGCAGCTTTATTAGTAGGGACAGCTCGCTCACTGGCATCAATGACTTTGCCTCTTCATTAGGAACCTCCTATATAGACAGTGTGCTCATAAACTGCTACACAGGTCAGCAGACACCACAAGCCTCTGCCAATTCCACCACTGTGCTCCTGCCTCCTGGGGACTCTCCTCCCCCTGACGAATCCACGCAGGGATCAGGGAGCCATCCTGCAGGACAGACCCAGGCCAACGTGGTGTCTCATCCAGCTGGGGAAGCTCAGGATGCAGAAGCGCCCCAGCCTGAGGGAGAAGGACAATCTCAGGTCACAGCTGGGGCTCAGCCTGGTGCTGGATCACATAGAGGCTCTTCTGCTGGTATCCTGAAGCGACCCCAGAGTCTTGCACTAATGGTGGACCCCATTTCAACCCAGATTGGTGGGCTGGAGAACGGACGCAGGAGAACAGTGACCTTCAGCCAGCAGGTCCGGACACATATTTTGGAAACGATCGAAGCTGTTTAGTCAGTAGAAGCCACCACAGCATTTCTAAACACTGTGTCTTTCTTTTTCTGATGAAGGTTGCAAACATTCTGCTGAATGGGGTGCGCTATGAGAGTGACCTGAGCGAGAATGTCGAGACTGGAGAGTCGCAATTGTCAATAAGGCTGCTGTGTGTAGCCATTTACAGGATGCCTCCCTCTCTGCGGAGTTTATGCACTAATCATTTCCTGGGTGAGAATTATCACCATTTATGATTTGTTGCACATCAAACCCTGCAACACTGTAAAAACGGCCTGGCTTGTATTTAATATGAACTAATTGTCTCTCTCTAGGCTGGCTGTCCTTTGAAGGCATGCTGCTCTTCTACACTGACTTCATGGGGGAGGTTGTGTTCAAAGGAGACCCCAAAGCACCCCACGACTCTGAGGCTTACCAACGGTACAACGCTGGTGTTAGCATGGGCTGCTGGGGCATGTGCATCTATGCATTCAGTGCTGCTTTCTATTCAGGTAAGCTACACTCGCAATCACCACATGTATGGGTTGTTAGTGCAGCACCATTATTTTGTCTTCCTTTCCTTGGCAATCTTTATATGTGTGCCTTCTGTTTCTCTCTTGGGATTCTTCTTCAATTTTCAGCCATATTGGAGAAACTGGAGGAGCGTTTCTCTCTTCGCACTCTATATTTTTTTGCCTACCTGGCGTTCGGTTTGGGCACGGGCCTGGCCACACTATCCACCAACCTCTACGTGGTCCTTTCTCTCTGTGTCACCTATGGGGTGCTCTTCTCCTCTCTATGCACGCTGCCTTACTCTCTGCTGTGTGAATACTACCAGAGCCCTCAGGTCAGTATCTAGATATGGAGCTTTATGATATTTTACTTACTTCAAGGAATAGTTCAACGTTTTGGTTTAGAGTTAGATTGGAAGATCTATCCCACTCACACGTTTGTACAGTAAACATGAAGCCAGAGCTAGCAGCTTCGCTTAGCACAAAGACTTTGTTTCCCTGTTTGCGGTCTTAATGCAAATGTAAATTAGCCAAATTCTGGCTGGAGCTGTATATATAGAGCACAGGCATGAGTGGTATCAATCTTCTCATCTAAATCTCAGCAAGAACGCGCATAATTGTACGTCTCATAAATGTTTAACTACTCCTTCAATGCTGTAGTGATTTTGTGGTGCACTACAGAGGATGACCATATACGTAAACTGTTTGCATATGTCCCTCAGTTTTGTGGCTCATCGGAGGAAGGGACCAAACGAGGGATGGGGGTGGACATCTCCCTGCTCAGCTGCCAGTATTTCCTGGCACAGATCCTGGTCTCTGTGGCGATGGGACCTCTGACCTCACTGGTGGGTGGGGCCCAGGGAGTGATGTACTTTTCAAGCCTGATGTCATTCGTGGGCTGCGTGTACTCCTCTCTCTTCGTGGTGTACCATCTCCCCCCCCCTGAGGGTGAGCCCCCCGATAGCGAGACCCAGCCACTATTGGTGCACATTTAGAAAAGTCTCTTAGTTTACTTTACCTCACACGCGCAGTCTCGGCGGGGCACGCGCTCTCACGCTGTCGCTTAGTGTCTTGAGTGTGTATACCTTCACAGCAGTCATAGGACAAACACACTGCACCTCCAGCAGCACATTGTACAGCACAATTCCATATATCGTTTCACACCAATCGGCACTGCTCTTCTCAGAGCTAGACAGACAGACAGACAGACATTGGCCACCGCTCTAGTATGTGTATACATGACCAGTGTGTTCATACAGTGTGTGTGCCCATGCATTTTTTCCTAACTTTTGCAAACGAATGTGTGACCTTTTTGAATGCAGTGTGGGATAAATGGATGAGAGAGAGAGAGAGAGAAAGAGAGAGAGACAGAGAGAGAGTCAGGATAGATAAGCCTAAGCTGTTCTTCTGTCTGATTCTTTGCTGTAATATCTTGCATCATCTTTTCTTGCTTGTTTGTGTTCAGTATAGAAATGTCGATCACTACGCGCAAGCTAACCACAGCTTCCCCCCTCTATTTCTTCCTTTTATCAGTTGCCTAACATCTGCATGAGCTGCAATGTAATCTCTCAAAAACTTTTATTTTTTATTGTTTTGTTTGGTCATACGGCCAGGGAATGTCTACCTGCCTGTTTCTCTGAGTTAGAATATGAGCATCACACCTTAAGCAGGTTTTGTCTGAATAAATGAATGTGCTGCCAGTGTCCACGCGCACTCACCGTTAATGCACCTTCATTAATTCAAGAGCTCTTTAATTTAGCAAACACATACTTAATATTTAAGCTGAACAACACGTAATCACTGTAACAGTCTTGAAGGGCTCCACATTGTTCTCATTTTAACAGCAGATAAAAACAACTCTTCCCACAAAAAGCAATCATTATGAGACTTACCAGTGTGCTATCCCTAAATTTCACACTTTGGTGCTGGTTGACTCCTAATCAAGTCCCAAGTATGAGTACAATTGCCAATTACGTACTAAAACAGCATAGAGCCATAACTAATAGAATGACACGCATACACACGCTCCTACACAAACTTTCAAAAACACAGAGAAATGTGTGCTGGTGGCAAATTCTGTCTGGGCCCTCACTAAGCCATGGTACAGCCGTGAGCTGTCACCCTACTCCAGGCCATGCCATTGTAATAATGACAGTGATTCTTGTCATTGTCAGGAAGAGGAGAAGTTGAAACTGGGGTGTGAATCAGCATTCAGTGGGAAACCGAACGAAACAGAAGAACAGCAAACAGGGAGAAGACTCATGTGAACAATGGGTAACCCTGAAGGTGGACAACACTGAAGGAAAAGACTGTGGGAGTTCATAGAGCCAGCAGCAAGTGCTTATTGTCATCATTAGGGCGCATGCTTGAGGTAGTAGGCTTCTGCTCCACCCCCGCTCGGCCCATCAACTCACTATAGTGATTATCTTACTTTCGTTAGCCAGCTTCCTCCTTTTTTCCATCCTAAAGAAGCCATCTTCATCAGCACAACGGTAGTTTTTTTTGTTTTTGTACATCTGTTGTGCCAGAGCAAACAGTATGCTTCGTCAGCCTCAACACAGGCACCATGTCTGACTTCAGGGCTTTAACAAAAGGTTAAGTATATAACCTGTTTCAAGCCCACCATTGTGATAAGTTTCATTGACCGGCGCTCACACTGAACACACCAACATTAGACTGGTGCCAGTCTTAATTGCTGCCTCAGCAGAATGTCAATTGCCTACTATTTAAGCCTCCTGGACTGAATGGATGCACGCCATGCTAACGTTTCTGAGGGAACAGCAACTGTATGGATCATGCTGTTGCAGCTTGCTTGAGAAGAAAATAAGTTTTTGTGTTATATGGTACCACCTATTGCTCAATATTTGCAGTTTTACTGTAAAAGCTACTTTTAGTCAGGGTTCAGTTCAAACTAAAATGATAATTTTGCCATTTTGGACTCCTGTGTCAGTTATTGTTTTTCACTGATAACCATTATAGCCCATACCAGTTGTCCTTCCAGCTCACTTCAGAAATAATGATCTGCAATCTTTAAGCACACCACACGGGGGAGCCAGGAGACAAGACTGCAATCCATTCTGTGCACCCATTTCCATTACCAAGTGAATTAGATTATTCCTGTTCCTTCCTGCAGCTAAGCCAGCCATTTTCCATGATAAGAAAAATTGGGTCAAGTGACATCATCTACTTATAAAACCATGGTTTTAAGAAGCACTAATGATCAAGTAACACACATAAAAAAAAGATATACTTAAGTAAAAAGACAATTTATTTGTTAATCAGAATATACAAAGCAGTGGCTGAAGTAACCGAATGTCATTCTGGTTCTGAGAAAGGCAGTCTTGGACACAAAACTGGGCTACCCAGCCACAACATAAAACTCATTGAAATTGTAAGAAAAACAAAAGTATAAATGGTACAAACTTGCATGGAATGCATACAGAACAAATGACCAAAGTGTTAAGATTTAAGAGGGGTTAACTAACATTGCAAAATTCTACCTCCATAAAACAAGGTCAAGCAATCTTATGAGGAAGGCGCAAGACGGAGCCCCTTTATACATTTGCACCATCTGTTATGTTAACAGGGCAGCCAAGCCAAGGATTAGCAAGCAGCTCAACACAAAAAAATGATGCCTCAACTAATAATGCTAACAACTGTCCATTAGCCCCTGCTTAAAACTTATCTTTGGTCCTTAAGTGAATCTGAGAGGTCAACATGAGCCATGGAGGAGTTGAGCAGCTACCTGTACGTATGAATCATCTGGTCAGCACTGACATAATAGAGATTGTGCTTCTAACATCCTGAAAGAACACCTCAAGAAATGATCTCATGGTGTGGCCCAATTTGTACAAGTAAAGACAAAACAAAGCTCATTTTAAAGACCAATAAATAACATTTCATAAAAAAAAAGAAAAAAAAAAAAAAAAAAAAAAAGATTCAGGGCCACTATGTTTAAGGACTCCAGTGCAATGTGATAACATGGGAGCAAACAAAAAGAAATATTTCTCAAAAGGTACAGAAAGCACAAGCCCTACAACGCGGTGTTGACCAGGCTGGTGGGACAGTGCTGAAAAACAAGTAGCAGGGCAGAGACCTAAGCCTTCACTTCTGCCTCTTTTGAATCTCCATTTTCCTCCGTCTTCTGCTTTTTTGTCTCCACCTTCTCCTATTTAAAAAAAAAAAGAAAAAAGAAAAAAAAAGGGAAACATTTCAGGCATTAGCAAAGACTGAAGTTCACCAGATTAGTCAACGCACTTGATTATAATTGTATATTTCAGCCCGGTGACAACCCACCTCCTCCTCCTCCTCCTCCTCCTCTTCAGCTGCACGCTTCACAGGCTGTGCATCAGTCTCCTCAGCAGGGGGCGCCTCCTCTGCCTCTCCTGTAAACACAGTTTGTCACTTCAGAAAGTACATCGCTCACTTTGAGTGTAATCAAGAGAAGCTTCATGGAATTTCAACCTCAAGGCCACACACGGTAACGGCATTTATGACGCAAAATCGGAGGACACAAAATGAGACACGTAGAGACTTGCTTTAGGTATTTTCCTGAAAACAGTAACACTGCTTCCTGTGAACATACCATCTCCATTCTTGTGTTTCTCCTCTGTCTTTTTTTCGGTCTTCTTTTCTGTCTTCTTTTCCACTTTGTCACTGTGATCAGCACCATTCTGAATGAAGAGAGGGAAGATGTCAGTCCAATAAAACAGCAAAATTCAGGATTGGGCTTTTATTATACGAGCAATGTTGCACAGAAGAAAAAAATCAAAACATGGAATACCAAGCATATTTGAAATAATCCTCCCAGGGTCTTACAAGTACAGACCCCTGTGGAGACACACTTAAAAAAGGCATGTGTGGAGCTCTTACTCCCCAGAGGATTAGCTACAAAGCTAAACTAGAGACACCAATGGAAACGTCCAAAGGCTGGCTAGCTAACATCTGTGCCATTTCACAACCCAAACAAAGCACTGTGTGGAGAGCAGCTGAACAGGAAGGGGAGGCGGGTGCAGCGACACCTGCATCATGAGGGCTGCTAAGACAAAAGGCCATGAGGCCGGTCCTCGTCTCCTACTCACTGTGCCATTGGCAGGTGCGTCCCCGTTGTCGGTCTTCTTCTCCTCCTCCTCCTCCTCCTCCTCCTCCTTCACTTCTACGTCTTTCTTCTCCTTCACCTCTACGTCTTTCTTCTCCTTCAGCTCCTACAAAATAAAAGCATGGCTCTCGATCAATGTGACGGCTCAGCGAAAGAGTTTATTCTGAAGTGCCCACGTCTGGCTTTTAATGAGAAAGCGTGTTTACCATATCTGGGATAAAGTCTAATTCAAGCAAAACCCATGTTAGAAGGTAATTAGTGGCGATGTTGAACGTTTTCATCCCAACCCGTAATGCAACGTTAACGTAACGGTTGCTTCCCGCCCACAGCAGCAGCTCTACCGCTTTGTCTGCTCAACAAGACGCGTTAAGCTCACCACACCACACACGTTTGAGTTTACACTCAATATTTAGCGGAACACGCTGAAGTTGACGAACACGTCCCTTCTGCGGTGAATGGTTTGTCGACAAGTTACAATTCAAGATAAGACTCATTTAGGTAATTCACATTTTTTTTTTGCCCAATTACTATTAACTTAAAATTAAATAACATTAAAAGGGTAAACGTGTAGCTTCTGCAATCGCCCACGAGCTAGCCAAACCAATGGTGAACACAAATAATACAACTTCAAAAAGTTCAGAAAATCTTTTAACACGACAGTTCAACCGAAGAAAAAAAACGGAATGAAACGAACCTTGGCTGTAACCTCTGCAGTTGCGGGTTTGTCGACAGCTGTGTCGGCCATGGCTAATTTTCTAAATTAATTTAGATAAGTATATTCCTGTTAAGATTTTTTTTTTTAATTTTTTTTTGTTCTTGGCTCTTTGCCTTCGTGTAGATAGTCCAAAGGCGCTGAGAGAGAAATGATGTCTGCCTGTCTCCGCTTTTCTCTCGAGCTCGTTGAAAATCCACTCTTGTTGGATACAGCGGGTCGATCCCGCACACAATTGGACAATGTCTGCCACCGGAGTATTTGATTGGAGGGTTGTCCTGTCAATCTTGACAAGGTATCCCGCCCACTTGCCATCTCGTCGTTGATTGGTCAATTGTATTAAAGCTCCGAACCAAGGTATCAGACTTCGTTTTCCTACGATACATCAGTTTGCGTTTGATTTTTGTACTTAAAATGTCAACAATGGCCCGTTGTTGAAGTAGTGATGAACCGCGAAAGCCTACTCACAGCTGAATATCGAATCAAGTTGATGGAGTGAAAAGTTTCTAAACATATGCCCATGAACGGCATTCACAGGTTTTAGCGCCCTTTCTCTGCAGACATGGGGTATCAAATTACAAGCAGAGAGGAATAATGTGACGATTTGAAAACACTGCGGCCACTCCTCCTTTCTATATTTAACACATGTAACAAAATGTGTTCCTGCTTAAATGTGCTTACGCTTTCACTGGTTTAAATGGAGGACCAGTAACACCGCAATTTGCACATTGAACAAGCGTAATTAAACAATTCATTATTCCATTACAAAATTCCCTAAAGACAACATAGCTGCACAGCTTGAGAGCTATACATCCACTTTACAGATTCAAATGTATTTGAATACTAAAATGGGCAGTGAATGATAATTTGATATCAATATACATGAATTGATCATCATCTCATATAGTTTTGTCCTTCTGTGGTATTTGCATATCATTGGAGAACAATAAGTTAGTGAAACTAGTTGTCTGTTTAAGGCAATATTTGAAACAAAGAAAAGGAAAAACATGTGCTGAGAAGAGGCTAAGCAATAAATGTGTTGCCTTGTGATTTGTGAGTACCAGGGACAGTAATGGGGTGATGTGTGGTATAGTAAGTGTGTGTAGCTATAGTACTGTGTGAAATCATTTACAGCATGCATTGAATCACAGTTATTGTCATAATACCATTAAAGGTGATATTTTTTCTTCGCCCTGGGAAAGAACAAAGTGACCTTGCTATAAGCACTTATATACACATGCAGAGAATGAAAAAGGACAGCATGCACCTCATGAATACATGATGTGTCTTGGGGTATTTCTTAGGAAGAGATTTGCCAGACCTCATAGATGAGATACTATTGTCTTTTATTCATAGCCAGTTTCAAGTGTAACTGATAATTTAAAGGTTATATTTCTTCAGATATGTTTCCCTTTCCCTCTCAATTAAGAAACATGCACTCGCTCATCCAACTGTTAAACCAAAGGAAGTGGCAACACACACAACTTTGTGGGTTGTAATTTAAGCCTCCACATGGTCAGTTCCTCAATTAAAATAAATCATTATTTTTTTTTATCACGGGTAAAATCTATCATTTTTTTGCCATACTCTAACCTACAATGAAATTTCTCAAGTATCAACATGATCATGAACAACCCTATTTGCCACGCCTGTTATTGTTTTCAACCCACACACATCATACAACTTTTACCTGCACTTATCAGCAGATAGTTGTCAGAGCAACAGAGTCATTTACACTTGCATGACTCTGTTTATAAAACATTTGTGTGTTCCAGATGATATGGATTTTAAATATTTCTAAGCAGCCGTACTACTGTTTGTGTCCTTAACTTGCCTCAACAAACCCATTGAGGATATCTTGACACAAGTATGTTTTCAGTCTCTAATTTTAGGGCTTAATCCTTAACCGCCTCACTTATTCTCTATGCCAGTATTCATACTGGTTTTGAAGAAGCCTCCAGGCCCCATTTAGTCATTCACCTCACATTCAGCTGAAATATTATCATAAAGACTGTAATTACAGAGATCAAAGGGTTGTGTGTCAGTGTGCCAGCTGGTTACTTTGAGATTTATTTTATGCCTCATATACAGTAAGGATGTTTTTTGAATTATTCTGTTGTTCAAACATAAGTCTACTAAGCGCATATGAAAATATTGCTAATTTGAATACTAAAACTTCTGATATACATCATGTGAAAGATTTATATACACACAAACTACTCATCACGAACTACACACAATAGATAATAACACTGACAAAGCATTGGTTGTATATTGTTTGGCAATTTAAGACATTATGTCACTGCACTTAAAGGCAAGGACTCATCTGGGCATTGCATAAAGTGTAATATCCTTTTATTTGGGAAATAAAGACCATGTGGCAACTACAGAGCATTAAAGCACATCCACAATGTAATGGTCTTCAGTAGATCCACGGGAGGAACAGAGGAGCAGACTCAAAGCAGCAGAAGGCATTACTCACTCTGTTTCTGTAACTGGAAAATGGGAGCAATCAGAGGGGGAGTGTTTGTGAGATCATTTCCTGTCTTTTTTTTCTTTATTTGCCTACCTCAACATGTTTCCATGTGCCACCAATCTTTAACAAAAAAAAGAAAATCCATCTATGGGCAGCCTATTTCACTCTGCAGGTAATTAAGCGAACCAAACCGTTGCAGGAAGTAGGGCAGTCAAGGAAAAGCCGAAAAAGAGATTACATTTATGTGGGGATTTCTTCAAACCTCTCATTTGCCAACAACTGGAGTGTTTACCACACTTTCCACAAGTAGGAACAGGAAAACCTTTTTGACACTAATCAAAATTATGGAAACACAGAAAGCAATACTGTATAAAATAAAAGCCTCTTTGTGTTTACGATGAAATACGTTTGACAGTAAATGTTTTGCATCAGTTCCCAGCCTGGGGAAACATTTATTTTAATGTTAAACTTGATATATGTGCAGCACCTTAATTTCACTTAATTTCTTCAGGACAAAGGACTGACCTGACTTGTGGAATGTCAGTGCTGCAGGGGTAAGTGAGGCCCATCAAAGAGCATAGGGGCCGGGATTAGGCGGGGGAAGGGTCCCTATAATTGGATGCATTGGCAGGGGGCAAACTGAGCTCTTTTGTTTTGAACAGCAGTGTCCTGCATGGTCTGTCTGGCTTTCTCTGGCGTTCAGGTCCTGCAGAGTACAGGACAACATGAAGTTGACTTCTCAGTGGAATGCACAGTAAGGGAGAAAGTTATTGATCTATAAGTAACACAATTAAGTACAGTCATTGTGGACCACAATTACAACATGTACACTAGTGGTGCTGCCAGACCCCCAGAGGCTCATACCGTATTTTCAAATAAAAGCTGCAGGGATGTTTCTAAAGTGCCTTCATAGTCAAAAGTCACATGTTTAACAATGTTTCTGTAAACTAATACTGTTATGCAAGGTCTATATTGAATAAAACAATGGCATTTTTATTAATATTCTTTTGAGATGTCTTTATAGTTGTGCAAAAAGTAAACCATTATTTTCTTTCCTTTAAATTTTATTTTACATGATACAAGTTCTTGTAGGAACAATAAAAGTGCATCAATATCACTCAATAACAACACAAAGACCCAAGAACTAAGGCAACTAAATAAAACAACAGCAAGACTATAATAATAATAATAATAATAATAAACAGCAAATTAATGAATACTTTCATGTATAGGGATGGGTATATGCAATTAAAGAAAATGTTTACATTGTAGGGCTCACATTTACACAGTTACATTGGGGATATTACGTCACTGCAACAGCCATATAGGATTCAAATGATAAAATGAAAAGAAAAAAAACAGTATGAAAGTAAGCAATAATAACTGCACAAACAAATATTTCAATAAAATAGCAAAATTAAAAACAACCGCCAAGTTACAATACAACCAAAAACAATTTACATGGAGCATGAAAAACTAATATGAAAAACGTAGTCGAGAGAAACACAAATAATGTAAACCAAAGCTCCTCAGAGTCAGGGTGCCAAGAGATCTGGAAATCCTAGTTTGGGCTGTTGTGGTTTAAATGTATCTTCAGTGTTGCATGGATTAGTCTGTAGGTGCTTTGAGGATTTGGAAAATGCCAGAGCTAGTGTTTCTGAATATCAAAGTCTATTATTGGTCTCTCTAAACTCGGATTTAACACACTGTTTGTCATTATCTCAAGCCAGTTCAAAAGGATGTGCATTGTCCCCTTCCCTGTTTGCAGGATATCATGGGGCAGCCACAGTCTGGAGATGTTGCTCTGTCAACATTTGGGTTATGAACTCCGCTGGCTCTGGCTCCATTTTTGATGCACAGCAGCCAACTGCTCCCGGGTGTAAAGTAGTAGTGGGACCACATCCCAAACTGAGGCTGAAAATTCTCTCCTGAAGAAAAAGGTGTCTTTTCCCATCCAGGGGAGGTGAAAGAAACTACCATATGTATAGGAGTTCAGATTATTCAGGGTCTCATTACAAACAAATGTAGAACACAAATGCATCAGTAGCCATTGTAAGCTACTGGACCATGGGGCTGACAAGAGGGCTAAACCATAATGCACGCTATTTGGCTGTTCATCTTTTCTTTGACCCTGACCTAAAAGTAGTGACAAGAATAACAATGAGAATACATGCAGCTGAAATATTGGGGGGGGGGCCTCCCTCTGAAGGATTGGAAAAAGATCCCAGAACAGACTCAGTACATGCCACAGGGACTACATCTCCCAGCTGGCTTGTGAGCGCTTGGTGGAGGTGTTGAAAGAAACTGCTGGGGAAAAGGTCACCTGGGTGACTACTGACTGTGTTGCCACAGCTACGTTGACACAGAAAAGCTGCTGGAAAATAAATCAATGGATAGATGGATGAAGAGATGTGTAAAGGTGCTATGTACTCAAGTTACAGAAGCCAAGATACTGTATGTATTTTGTAAATTGTATGTTCAAAACATAGGTTGAAATGTCAAAGAATGTATTTAAATTCAACAGATGTTGAAATATGTGCAGAGATTTATACTATGTTTGCATTTATTGTTACAACACAGCAATAGCAAATGATGAGCATATTTCAGTCCTACCATCTGATTGCAGTGCAACATATCATCTGTCAGCAAGCACTTTGCCTTCCTAACCAGGAAATAATACATAATTCACAGCATTAAAACCAATACCACACATGCATACTACATTTCTCTGTAAAACATATACACAAAGAAGAAGAAAAAACAAAATACAATATATATATTTATGTATATATACATAAATATATATTGATATGTCGGTTATCTTAAGTTGAGTTAGTGAATCATTACTGGTGTTATATCACCGTCTCATCAGAGATCATTTAAGTCTTATCTTATTTTTCTTAAACTTCATATTACATTGTCTTTCATAGATCTTGCATTTCCTAAACATTTTGGGATGACTTTGGTTTATTCAAGTATATCCTGATTATTTTACTCCCATGTAAACACACCAGAACCTGAAAAAGTACTGCTGTCGATGTTTGCTGTATACATTTACAACATTCTGTCGTCATTTCTTGCCCAAAAGGTATCAGAAATTGAACATACAATAATTATTTAACAACTTATTACATCCACATAAGCACAATTTCTTCTTCTTCCTTCAACATTGCCTGACAGTATATTAAGCTGGGTGCATAACTGAACAAACACAGTAACAGGAACAGGAACACAGGTGTCAGTGATCAGATGGATGTGTGAAGAGATGTGTGCATTTTGATTGTTATATGAATAAAATATATAAAGTTAATCAATTAATCAAAGGTTATAATAACGTAGGACACATATAATGTTATGTTATTCTATGTAATCTTCACATCTTCAATTTTTAATGTGAGGATGTCGGCCATATTATCCACCCGGTTCATTGTTTCTGTTGCTGCTGTTTACATTCCTTATGATGCAAATTCAAGAAATGCACTAAAGAAATGTACTACTGTTTTTGTTTTGTTTGTCATGTGTTTGTTGTGTTTGAAATGGGCTACAACTGAATTTAGTTTTGCATCCCTGTGTTACATAATCACCATTAATGATCATTGAATCCTTGAATTTAACATATACTATGTATATACATATATAAAGTAAAAAAAAACGTCTTTTAGGTTTCATAAACTTAATTAACAAATATGAAAGAGTAGCTTCAGTTTTCCCTCTGCGCTGCTGAAGTTCAACTGTACTACCTTATTTATTACACCTTCTACAGCTCCACCCTTGCAACTGCCTTGCCAGAGAAGTGGAAATTTCCAGTAATTTCTTCTGGTTTGCAAGAAATGCTCCTCCTCCTTCTAGTTTCCCGCCTTTCAGTCTACCTGCTCCTTCCTGCTATAAACCCCAACCAAGACCTCACAGCCCTCTGCTGCTGAGCTTTAGTGCCCAGCGGATTTTACTTTGTACAATGGGAAAACCTATTTCTCACATAGACAAAACATAACATCTGTTTATGCTTCTGGCATTATCGTTTGTCTGTAAATGTATGTATATTGGCACCGAAATATGATCCTTGAACTGAAGATGTTAAAGATTAGAGTGTTTAAACTCTATTTTATTTGGATGACAGGCGGATTAGTAAATGTGCAATTTGCACTGATCTTTCTGTGAGAGATGCCTGAATGTTTCTTTGTTTACTAGTCTGAAAGTACATCTTGTTATCCTCAGAATTATAAAGGGTAAGCTATACGAGTAAGTATTACACTAGCTCTTGAATGATGAAGGGTTGGATTGGGATCACAGAACAGATGGTGGATTTGCATTTCTATTTCTCTGGCTGATCTGATATTCTGCTCTCTGGTTTGTTACAGAGATGCTCCGAAGCTTGTCTTCAACTGCCATATCAAGAATTAGGAAATGTGACGAGTGTTTAAGAGATCACAAAGAATGCCCTGGTGTAGTGCAGTTTTGTGAAAACAAGGTGACATCTGTTGTCGCCTTTACAGCCTGAAAGGTCCAGGCTATCTCTGCGCTACATCTGTGGTTTTAGAACTTCCTCTTAATTCAAGACCACAACATAACCGTGTACACATGAGCAGCCCTGATGCTTGCTAGAGAATTATTTTAGATAAACTAAGAAAATAGTTACGAGACAGCTGCAGTGGAGAAGTTTGAGTGTGCTGATGGCATGAGGCACACTGACCTTAGACCCATTGTGAAGCACCAACAAAGAGCCATCTGCACAGCAACCAAAGCTGAGATGAGGGACTCGCACACAGGGGAATCGAGGAGGGGGAGGGACACAGGGACCTGGGGAGTGTAAAAAAAGACAACAAACCAGTGATTAAGAAATATCTGAACGGGACTTGATCAGCTGGATCATGTCTGAAACATCAAAGCAGTCCATGCTAAATATCTCAGAGGTTTGTACACAAAGAAAACAGGAAGCTGCACAACACGTCAGCCCACAGAGTGTATGGATCGCTCCACTGCTGGTAAAGTGGAAGACAAGAGCTGCTGGCCTAATCACTCAAGAGCACATTTCCTGCCTCCTGCATGATGAGATGAAGTCAGCTGAAGCCGTTCAAGGCTAATGTTTAACCCAAACCTGCAGATCTCACACACGGTGGATATCTCAATCCTTCTGCCAGCAGAAACACGCAGGCTTTGTCTCCGCAGTGGTCTGAATTGTAATGATATCTTTCGGAGGGTTCATCATTTTGGATTTGAAGAGATTTCATAGTGCAACCAAAATTGTTTTCCTTCTCGAGTGGGGTGCATTTCAAAATGGTGAAAACAAAGACAAAATGGTGGCAGGGACATCTGTAAAAATCAAAAATGTTTCACAGGTAAGACATGAGAGTCAGGATTGCTTAGCAACAGCAGTAAAAGATTCTTGCAGCCTGAATGGAAACATAGAAACTGATCCTGCTGCCACCCAGTGGTGCACTGCTAATACGAGCTAGGGAGGAACCGGCATTGGAAATGATCAAAGGCTCACTTCTCTAAAATATGTGTGTAGCATAACGATATAGCTACAATTACCTGCAAGGTGTAAACCCCATAATTGATGAAGGACTTGATGGGGGGGAAAAAAGGTGATATGCTTGTTCCTTCCTCAACACCGTTTGAAAATATGTTCAGTAATTTGATTGGCTGAAAATTGCACCAGCTCTCATGTTGCTTAGCAACATACATGGAAGGGTGGATTGTGGGTGGGAGGGTGTGAGAGTTGGGTTAGGGGGGGGTGGAGCAGTTCTTCAAGAGGAGGGAACATTGTGGGTGCAGCATGCAGGCAGACTGGCTGGGGAAATACCTGGCAAAATTCCCAAATAAACAAACAAGAGGGAGGAGGACAGCGCGGCAGACAGAGGACAGGGGTATTTTCTGGGTCCAGATAACAGTCTTGTTTGAGATAAAGGGAACAATGCATTTTATAAGTGCTACCACAGTTTGTTCCCAAAGCAGAACAAGACTAGAGATAGGAAGTGGAGAGCATTACACTGAAAACTTTGCCTGCCGTCAGATGGAAGTTGACAAGAACTTTACAATCCATATTAAACTGCTAGTGGCTTGAGACAAATGTCTTTCAGCATTAGTTTTTGGAGAGATTGAGGGGACTGTGAGTAGCACTATGGTTATTACAGGACATGGGACTCTGCAGTTGATCATGTAACAGTTTGACGAGGAACAGATGAATAGGCGGCGGACAAGCGTGTAGTTTCTTGATGAGTGTGGAGAAACGTTACCTGTTCATGCAGGTTTTTGTTGGTGTGGTTCGGTGTGTAGGGTTTTCCAAGCACCAGTTAATCATTACTTTTTGATTAGGATAAGTTGAACTTAATACAACAATCAGCCTGCAGCAGATGTAAAAAAAAAAGAATGAAAAGGACAAACATTACAAATGATTACAAGGTGCGAAGCAGAAGGTGCACAAAAAAAATGAGGCAACTGTTAAGCTAAAGGAAGAGAAAAGATGGAAAATGTGCTTATATGGAGAGGGAAGGGTAAATAAAGCTGCTGCTGGTAGGTACAGCCTGCAGAAGGAGGCGGGCCTTGGAAATGGCTGATGCAGGCGGTCTCTACAGGCAATGAGGACTCTTTTGTCAGGAGTAGGAAATGAGGTTTCTGTTGTGATTAAAAGGAAGGTTTCTATGGCAATGCAGAGAGCCGTGTGCACAGAGCGTTTGTCGGGAGTGGAGGGGGCTAAGTGAGAGTAGAATTTCAAAGAAAGCAGCCTCCTCCATCTCATCTCCCACCATCGCCACCCGTCTGTCTTTCCACAGCACTCTTTTATCTCTGATAATCTGTTTTCATAGCCACACAGTTGAGACTGCAAGGAGGATTATCCTGAGCAGACCAAGTCATTGGTCAATCGGTCATAAAGGTTTACAGAGTAACAGTTTCACTTCCCAAAAATCGCTGCTGTCAAAACCGGAAAAATAACCTTTAACAGATAAGCTAATTAAAACCACACAACTCAAGTTAGATTGTTAACATAATGCCCGATATGTCTCTTTCTTGTTTGGACAGGTACACTTGTCAAATCATTCTTTCCTTGAACAGCCCATGATACATAAAAAAAGCTATGATGGCATCAAGGTGACCTTTAAAGCTAAATATAGCAACACCCTTTGTTAATTGTTTCACAGTTAAAAAAATATGTTTCTTAAAATAAGTTCCCCGTGCCAATGTTCTCATGACAGAGGAAGCTGCTCTCTGCAGCAGTGACTGCCATCTTTTCCCAACCAGAGGCTTGCCCCAGGATGTTTGGATAAGATGACATGAAACTCCTGAGGATCAAAGTGAAGTTTTTTTTTTAAATCCTTGCACATTACAAGCCACACTGAACGAAAAAAAAGAGAGACAGACGCTCCTGATATTACTGGTACACATGAAGATGATATGGTAAGCCTAAACTACAAATATGTAGCTGACTGAGCATGAAGAGTGGCTGGTGTTAACTGTGGTGTATGAACAGATAACTGATTTAATGGAAAGGTAACAGTTTATTTAAATAATGACACTGATTTGATAACATACATCTGAGCATGATTCGGCAAAAACACATCTGAGAAAAATCTGCATTATTCCAGCAACAAAAATGTGTTCAAAATCTGTGTGTACGGTGAAGCACTAAATGCTCCTCGTGTCCTTTTTGGAAACACAGACTCAAGAGCTCAGCAAGCCAATTAGAATTACAAAAGGTTCTGCTGCCCCCAACCTTTCCGTTTCAGCATAGCAGCAACTATCATGTAATGAAACGCTGCCAGTGCGGGAGGGTTGTACTGCAACCAGATTACATAGTCAAAGCCAGATGGCAAGTCCCACATCAAAAGGACAGCTGGTTACCAGAATCCGAAAAGCCATCTTTATAGCTCTCAACCTAATTATTTCCAACAAAACAAATCACACCAACATGCAGGCATTGAACAGGCCATGCCAATGATTCATCATAAAAGGTGACATGCATAACATAATTAAGCTTTAAATGTTTACATGTGCAAGCTGCAACATTTGAAAATGGCCAATCAGGCTGGTTCCATCAGCGGCCGTGGCCTTCGTGGATCTATATTATGCTTAGCAATAAAAGCAGGCCCTTCAGATGCAGATGACGAGGATCCCATTTTAAACATCAGCTCAAAGTGTCAGATTAGTGCGTCCTCCAGCGAGCGTCGTCTGTCGTCAAACTGCTGACTACTCTTTGAGGCTTTGGTTGCTGCCTGCCGGACTGACCTCTCTTTCTGCAGAACCTGTGAATCATAATCCAGAAGAATGAACAAAGTACTGGAAAAATGTATCATGATGAAAAGCACAAACAATCACTTAAGTGCAGGATTGGCACTTAGCATTGCACTAACCCCTTTTAATATTCTCTTGCGAAGTTCCCCCTGTGAAAGTGGTCGTTCTTCCTCATCAGTGACAGGAGACTCTTCTGCATCATATTCCACACTGAGGAGCCCAACCAACACAGAAACACTCATCAACCTGATGTTCGAGGTGTTTAGATGTATTTATAGGTTTACTAATTATAAAAACATGGGCATCAAATTGAATAGATAAAAGGCCGACCCGTTGATTGCAGGTTGGATGCTAACGCTCTGCTGAAGTAGCTCTGGATTTTGACCTAAAAGAAATTTGGCCAGATCTTTTGGATTGTAGTCCTTTTCTAGATCCTGCAAGAGTCACAAATACAGAGGCACATTACATCACAAGGCAGAAATACAACAGGAACGTTCGTCAGGAGAGTAAAAGACAGAACCACAGGTTGACAGGTTACTTTAGAATTGAGGAAAGCTTGTATGGTGAGCAGCTCGTTGGTCTTCTGTTCCACCAGACCCAGGTAGGACATGATGTTGTTCTCACTGATCCCTGTAGAGGAGCCCAGTAGATCCTCCATCACTGAGCGGTCGCAATCCATTTTAGAGAAGATGCTGTTCACCCCTACGAGATGGAAAAGACCACAGTCAGGAGTACCTGGAACTGTCTGTGTAGGCTTATGTGTGATACAAATATGTACATACTGTATATCTGTAGTTTCTTGATAGTTTTAAGGAATATTTCTCAAATTTTATACTTATTTAAGGGAAACTGCTCAAATCGAACCATGTAAATATTCAGTAATTATACATTTCCTATTGGATATTGTTCTTTATTTGTGTTGAACTGCATGCTTGCCCAATTTGACATTTTTGCATGTTCATCCGGCCTGCTTAACATTGACTAAAAGACTCCAAGTGACGCTGCCTATTTATTGGAATGAATGAATTGAAATTATATTAACAGAACATTGACACTATTTCCCCTATAGTTACTAATGATAAAACGTCTTTTAAAAAACGATGAATGAGGAAATTACACACCAGTAAAATAAATTGTTGCCAAACTAAGGCTGGGAGTTATGCGAAAAATACCTAATTACCTAATTTATTATATTTATATTGTAGGGTTGACTATTGGTGCATTCACAAAATATTTATGACAATGAGATTTTGGTTAAATTGTGATCAGTAATGTGGATAAAATGACTAAATGGAAGGCAATGACAGAACAGTCTGGTAAGTCAGAAAATGACACGACTCTACTGTAATGCAGCCTTTAAAACCAGGAAAAGACATTTGTGCGATATTAGGATATCAAAATTGAAGACAATATCTTGTCTCATATCCCAATATAATATTGACATATTTCCTAGCTGTATGCCAAACCTGTTTTGATCTCGTCCAGGATTTTGCTTATGATGCTGGCTTGGTTTTCATAGTCCTCAGCTTGAGACTCGCTTTCCTTTTGCTGCTCATCGATGTCTTTCAGCAGAGAGCGATGATCCTGCTCTTGTTGCAAACCTGCTACTCGAAATTGCTGTATCTCTGCTTGTGTCTGCAAATTCACACATTCACACACAGACATTCAAATACATAGATATTTGGTGTCAACCAACAACACTGAATACTACATGCTCCCTTTCACTCACTCTAACTATAGACAGAAATGACCACTTTCATTCAATTTCCTAGAACTTACTATAATTTTGTAAGAACTCTATGACTCTGGCCATTGAAGCCCTTCATACTGGTTGCTTGTAAACTTTGTGAACAAGGAATTAAGTATATCTGCTCTATTGTTACACTGAATAGGAGTATAGGTACATTTTGTGAAGCTAAAAATGACGAGTACATAGAGAAAAGATACTCACCTTGCTGATCTGATCTCTCAGTGCCTCAGCCTCATTGTTTTGCTCATTTACAAAGTTGAAGAGTGCAAAGTTCTGGTCTTCAGCTACATAGCAAATCAGCAATACAACAGAAAGATACATTTAAATATCTTCAACTGAAACTGATTATTACCAAAGTGGGACATAAAGTGTTCCTCCAAATGCAAAAAAAAAAACATCATATATAATCTTTTGTCAAAGGAAAGAGATGCAATTATGGTGTCATTGTTTATAAATCAACAATGAATATACAAATAACATACATTTTTATAACTCAGATCCTGTCATAACTTAAATAATGAATTCAGGTTCCAGAGCCAAAGGACTGTAAGAAGTGTTGTCTTTGTGTCTGTGTGAGTCTGAAACCTGTGTTGGTAAGACGTACCCTGGATGAACCTGCTGACCAGCATGTCCAGGTTGTCCTCCCCTGTCACTGCTTGGATCCTCTCAAACACCTCCTCTAGAGCGTCCAGCGACTCTTCCCCCGAGTCCATCCTCCTCTGCTCCTTCATCTCTGACACTTGGACAAACGAGCACCTTCATATCAGTATCATCAGAACTGTACAACTGTCAAGTCTCAAGTCTTTGAGCCATCTAGTCTGCTTAGAACAGCTATATCTACTATATTCTAAGTCAAAGCATGCACTGTATTATCACTCCTTTATCTATTATTATGATATGATCACTTTAAACACGCTCTTGCATATGAAAAACACACACAATGACAAAACTTTCCTTTAAGGTAAATTACTGTATTTTGCCCCTAAAAAAATCAATATAGACCAACGTCACTCAGGGTAACAGGAAAATATTGCTAACATTATTGGACTTGCAATAATAAGCCTAACCTATTTGTCAATAACAGTTATGGTTATTGTATAATTTCACTGGGTCTCCAACTAACATCTTATAATCTACGATAATTTAACACATCCCTCCAGCCTCTCAAGCCAAGAGGTGCTCACAAGTCATTTTTAGCAAGTCCATGGCAAGTCTCAAGTCACTGTGTGTTAACACACTCTGTGGAAAGTGTAGTGTTTGGTTCTATTACAGTTGTGATGACTCTGGTATCATTTAGTTTGCTGCCTCATTCACCTGTCAGTGCTCTCTCTCTGCAGGTGATCGTTAGAGCAACTGGGAACACCTGAGGGTTTTTTGAGTCAGCTACTCTCTGGCTGACCATCCACTCTGCTGCACTTTGCTTCTCTTGTTTATTGGATCACATTTATGCACCTTTTCAACGCCTACACATGCTGCAGACTTTACTGATATCCACGCCCCACATTTCAAGTTAAGCCTTTAATTTGGTCTAAATTGCTTTAATTTGTTAAACAATGCTTCTTTTGTTAATTGGGCATGTCTGTCTTTTGTTATGGCCACCTGGGCCAGGTTATAACACAGCGTTCAAGGACTCGCTGTCAGGACAGACTGTACTGTTTCCCTCTTGTTAGTTTCAAGACAAAAGAAACTTTACCAAAGTTTTCTTTCTTTCTCTTGCTGCTGTCTGATTGTTTCTGCTGTAAAATCCTAAATAATTGTTGGCTATACTGTGTCAATTGTAGCGTGTTAATAATGTTTTATTGCCTATTTGCAAAAAGCAGGCACTGCTTGTGGTACTGTAAAGAAGTTATATTCACATTTTGTCCTGACTGAAAAGAAACCATCAATAAAAAAAAACAAACAATGTTACTGATACATCTGAGTAAATACTGTGTTTTAGCAAACCATCCTAATTGTTGTGAGCATAAACTGAACTAAGCAATGCTATGGTGTTTGCCATTATACAGTTTGGCACAGACAGGGAATGACGAATAGATGATTGATGAGTCAAACAATGTTCCTCTAACTTTTTACATAGAAATGAGATCTGTACTATCCAGGGTTAAACGTTAATGGTTTTTTTCACATTCTCAATGTGGCTACATTAGGCTTTTGAATCATCTCAAAATCATTTCACAAGGACCTTATATTTGTATTACATGTAGACCACATTAGATTCTTCTCTCTAGCTTGAGCTCGTTGTATATATTGCATGAGACTGTGCCGGGGCATTCATAAAGCAGAAGCTGATAATTGGTAGGACTCCTGAATAAACATTGAATAACCGCTGCCAGCGTTATTATCGTCGGCAACACTTTTGCCATTCACATAATGATCAATATTGTCAAAACAGCAATATTAGCTACAACACAGAGGCTGTGTCTTACGTTGTTTGTGTCCCATCTCATGGCCCTCATCCTGCCCACTCCTCTCGCTGCACTTGGTGGTCATAAACTCTTTCAGGCTGAACTCTTGTGCAATAACCCTCTCCAGTTCCTTCATCTCAGTGTTGTACTGGGCGAGGTCCTTCACTGCCTTCTCCCTCATCATGGTCAACTTGGATTGGGCCTCCAACCTGAAACACAAAAGTTTGTAAATAATCCAAAAACCAAGATAATGACGTGCATATCCTTTTGATTCTTACATTTTATTACACAACCGTCTAAAATCTGACCTGGTATCATAGGCAACATTGGACAAGTTGACAGTTTCCCCGATTTTCTTGCGGACATCGTAAAGTTCCTACAACACACAGAAAACAGCAACGTGTTGAAAACCAGTTTACGAACATGTCTTCTAATCATGTATGGTGTGACCTCTGACCTTGTCCAGCTTGTTGTGGAGTTGCTGGAAACGGATGCGCTCAATATGAAGAGTCTGCAACTCCTCTCTCAGGTGGCTGTTTTTGGTCAGCTGCTCATTGAAGCGAGTCAAGGACTGGAGAGGACATAGAACATTAACAAACTTTTAAAATAATATAATAAAAGTATATGTGAAGTGTCTCTGAAAACAGACAAAGAACAGTATAACTTCATAACATGATAATATTTGGAGATCCGTTTTCTCCGTATTTTGTGATAATGGCTTTCACAACTCACTCTGTCCAGTTTGTATTCCAAAGTGTGTATGGCCTTCTGAGTCCTCCGTAACTTAGACTTTTGTGTATCCCCAGTGCCGACCTCCCCTTTTCTCAACTCTGCCAGCTTCAACTCTGTGTTTTTAATCTGCTTACATTACAGACACATGACATAAACTGTGGTTTGTGACCAAAACTATCAGTAAACATGAAATGTATAGTATCATATAGAGTGAACGGACTTAAATCACCTCTTTTTCAAGCTCTTTTTGACACTGCTTCTCTTTCCACAGCTCCTCCTCTAACATGTCTCTCTGCTCCAGCAGAGCACGAAGACTCTGAGTGTCCTCACTGTCCTGCTGCTGGCGTGACACGCTTTTACATGCACCAAGGTTTGTATGAAGGTCCTCCTGCTCCTTCAGCAGCTTCTCTATCTCCTGCCTTCATCCACATCACATAGACAAGCAATCAGGCAAATAAAAAAAAACCACACATGCACATTTGACAATGTGATGAAGGCGTAGTGCTTAGTCACTGTTGTTTGCGGATCTGCTCCTGGGCTTGGAAGTTGTAGGCCTGCCGATCTCCTTCCATGATCCTGAACTGTCTCTGCAGTTTGGCTATCTCTGATTCTGCTTTTTAAATAAATCACATGGACATTATAACTGTTTCAACCATTCAAATGGCAAAAATATTATTAAGAGAGCATCAACATCTAGTTGATAGCAACATAACCAACATTACCTGTACCATCAATATCCATCTCACTGCTGTCTGAACGGGCACTAGTGGCTGTTCTTCCACGTGGCATGGTTACACTGGGCTTTACCGGATGAAACAAAAAAAGTAAAGTGACATTTGCAGAAAATATTGAACTTTTACTTGTGGAAATGTCATTTTCCTCTGACCATTAAGTTTAATCCAAACTCTCATATTCAGCTTTCAAACCTTAAAGCTGAATATGAGACTACATTAGTTATAAATGTTTTCCTTTAGTGATTGCCTGGAAGCAGCATTCGATTAACATTGATCTTGTCAGCACATTGCATCACTAGAGTAAGTTTTAAGATTGGAGGGGGAATTTAAATCATTTTTCCTTTTACATTGCTTTTGAAGTGGTAGTTTAAGTGAGGAAATGCTATATAGCCATATTTGTCATTTACAATGAACAAGACACATTTATCTTCACAAACCATTAGTGTGCACTGCTGCATGTTCCTATATGATTAATCAATATTTAAATCAAGGTTTAAGATCATCTAACTAGCAGAATAGCAACTCCAAGGCATCATATTCAGTTATAAGACAGACAAGATATTGGTTATAGTTAGCTAACATATGAAAGGTATCTAAAAAGTGCCTGCTGTTGAGGACAAATAAGAATTTATCTCACCAGTTCAATGTTTAAAAAGGTAGAAACCCCAGTGCTACCTCCCAGGACACACGACAGGCTCACAGCCTGAGTTGTTAGCAACCGTTGCTCAGTGCCCTGTGAGCGGCAGTCCCTATTGGACAGGTTGAGTGAAGAGGTCCGAGTCTGCAGTGCCACACACAGCCTGAGGGGAGCACGTTTTGATGTGTGAGTCCAAACTCAAATAACGACCCGAAAGCAAGACAGGTGACACGAAGGTCAGAGTATATACAAATAAAGGTCAAAGCAATAGAAGGACCATCTGCAAGACATTCTTATATAAAGTCTATTATGCAAGCACATAACAGGGTAACATTAGAAGAAATACATAAAACTAAGCCAATGTGAGTATGACGCTTGTGGTTGATTATAGGTGGTTTAATATGGTATATTTATCCAGTTTTCGATTAACGAGTGCATTTTTTGGTGCAGTGCAGTATATAATTTAATCTAAGTTGTAATTGTGCGTGCAGAGTTGTTGCTCTTTTTTCTACCGTTTCCACTGTTGCTTGAGTAAACGCAGCTTGGACTGGAAAGTGTTTAACTTCTCTACCACTAGATGGCAGTATGAGTAAATTAAATCGTATATTTAGAAATATATGCCTGTGTCTTTGCTAATTATCTAGGTTAATGATACAGATGTATTTAAAAATGCTGTTGATTTGATTTACTTTGTATTTCTATGTAATTTCAGATCCACACATATCTATGTTTTCTTTGGCCATAAATAATGGTAATTGAAAAATAAAGAGATTTATTTGGTTTATTCTAATTGAAAACCTTTCAGTGGACTTCAGTTACCACCCAGTCTTAGTACCATGTGCTCCCCGTTTTTACCTTTATCCTGTATCCTCATCTTCATCACTGTCGTCATCATCATTCATCCTCAAACCTGCATGTCCTGTTCAAACTCATCCTCTTAACAGTTCTGGCAAACTCACATCATCATAATATAAAGTAGGTTTTGGTCTAAAGAATGATTCAGTACTGTGCTTGTGTGTGAACACTATTTTAGGAGTTGACTGCACGGCTACTCACAATTCTAAGGAGATGACTTGCATCTTTTTACTTTGTTCCGCTTTGTTGTCCCTGTTTTTAGTTGCATGTCCATTTCTGTGCACTGACATTGAGACCAACAAAAGTCATATTTCTTGTAGGTGCACACACTTACTTGGCCATTAAAGCTGATTCCGATTATATAATTGACAATATTTTAATTTGATGTTCCTGTAAAACGGAGCAACAGAGCCTTTGGGTGACCCAGGTTACATGTCGGACGCAAATAAACCCACATCAGCAGGTCATGACCTTCGTTAGCTAAGAGCAGTAGCTCACATCTATTTGTGACATCTGCACACATGTCTAGATTGGCAGAGAAGGACCATATTTGGTATTTCCTAATTCTGTATGTGAGTTTAGTGATCGTCTCCAGACAGGAGACCCTTAGAAACGAAGATGGAACGATTCACTGTAAATAGTAATAGTAAAGCATTTGCACATCAATATTTATATCTTTTCATATTTATATAATACACTTATAGTAAAGTGTTACAGATTCTTACTATTCCATTGAACACGGGAACTTCAGTCTAAAATATGTCAACAAGCCAGTAAACTCAAGCTGTTACACTTCTAACCCTCAAATATTATCAAATTGTTCTTTTAATAAACACTCAAGTAATGTCACTAAACACATATGTCATTGCTTTACTGTAAATCAATTCATTTATTGACTACTAATGAGCAAAAAGCTGCAGGGTTGCTTGAGAATTTCCCGCAGAGGATCAATACATTCTTTGCTGATTATATTTACTATATTAAATAAAGTTACAAAATAAACAGACTAAAAAGTACAATATTTCCCTCTGAAATGCAAAATGGCCTCTGTCAGTATTAAATTGTGCCTTAAAGGTCCAGAAAGAAATAACTATGTATATATCTTATTCTATGCACACAAGATAATAATTTGTACACACAAGTTATTATCTCTTGCAATAAGATAAAACAAAATCCAGGACTTAAGGGCTCTCCTGCATGTGTTGAGGGGCAACTTATTATTTATCTTTGCTTCTACCTCATGACCTCCCTTAAATCTCAGCATACAGTAACTCCTACCTGGAGTAGTCTAATCAGCAGCATAACTGAAAACTCCTGTGAGGGTATGTGGGGCCTGTATAACAATGCATCATATTTAGTTCGTTGATCATGTGTTTTGTATTTAAAAACAAAGTAACTAACTATAGCGTGATGAAGTTAAAAGTACAATATTTATTTTTGAAATGTATAAAGTAGCATAAATTGCATATGCTTAACATACAAGATTACATGATTAAATGATTTCCACCACTGACTAAATTTACATTCACGTTGTACTCGATTACATTTTCCGATTGTGCATATGTGGAGCTTAAAAATGCCCTTTTTATTTATTTAACTACCCCACAAGATATGTTGAAATTGGCTCCAAGCCTTCAACTTGACCAGCCACATTAAAATGCGCTCTACATAACCACTGATCGTTATTTCAAGTAAAAGCAGTGCCTTGAAAAATCTAAGAAAATGTTATCTTATATCTATATATATATATTACATATCTTGCATAAACATAGCTTAGCAATGTTAAAAATACATTTTGACCCTTTATTATCATGGAAAATTTCAAAATACATGTTTGAGCTGATTTGTGTTATGTTTTTCACAATAACATATTCATATTACATAATAGGAGCCTATACTGTAGGCCTAAACTAGTTTATGACACACACAAACATTCTTTGTTCACATATAAAGCATGCAAATGTACAATTTACAATATATATGACTGGTACAGATCCTTTCTTTGAGCTTTTATGCATAAACGGCATTCATAAATCTTAAGTTTATTTCCCTGACTCTTTCAGGGGTTGTGGTTCCTCCTGAGCTTGTGTTACTGGAGTGACCTCTAGGAAGGTACAAAAGTGCTCTGCTGTATTGAGCTCAGGCTTTCTCAAGAGCAAGTAACATTTTGGGAAATAGTAGGCTGCCACCAATCCCATGTTGCTTGCCAGGGAGAAAAAAACATGGACTATAGACTTCTTCCTCTCATTCAAACCTATGTAGATCGGAATAAAGGTCATCCAAATCACACAGTAGAACAGAGAAGAAAAGGTGATGTCCCTGGCGAGGTTGTACTGATGAAGAGGCTTTGCTGCCATGAAGGTGCACATGAATGATATAAGGGCCAATGCGCCGTTGAACCCTTGCATTACAGCAAATCCAGACAAGGGTGACATTGGACATGACAGAAATGCTCTCACAAAGGCTATTTTCATTTCTGTCACATACTCAGACAGCGAAGGCCCTTCCTGAACAAACCAGCCACAGAGAGCAGCCTGTACAGTACAGCAGACCACCACAAATAGCCAGCTTCCAGGGCCTCTTAGTATGTGTAGGTGAGAGGCGGCCATCTTTGGGAACTCTGTCACGTACAGAATCTGTTTAAAAAGACGGGTTTGCAACCAGATTACAATGTGCGCTCTTTATTTCGTCCTTCAGTTGTCTACATTAATGTATTTTACCATTTTCATTACTCACCTGTAGTGAGATGGATGTGATAATGGAGAGGGCCACTGTTTGGAAAATGGTGGTGAGGGGCAGCTGAATACGACACACCATGTCCCCTGGCTGCCCCAGGAAGAGCAGCACACTGAGGCAAGCTCCCATCAGGCTAAGCAGAGCCACAAAACTCAGGGCTCCCCCCGAGGCTGTTACCAACAGGGTCCCCCGGTGTTTCAGGAACACGACACCCACTGAAATCTGACATACCAGGAGCAGCACCATAGCCAGTGTCATTTCCAGAGCCTCAGTCGTGTCCCAGGACAAATAGAAAAAGGTGGGTTCAATGCAATTGTTGCTGCGAATCGGAGACCATTTACGTTTTGGGCACTTCTTGCACTGGATGTCGTCTACAAGTCAGAAAGCACAACATGACATTTGGTTTGATTAACAAGCACACCATCTACCGCTCTCATGTCTGTGTATTACATCTGGAGATACAGCCAGCAGCTGTGCTAGCTTAGTTTAGCACTAAAGACTGGAGGCAGGGGGAAACAGCTAGCCTGGCTGTGTCCGGTGTAATACAAATCTGCCTACTAGCACCTCCAAAGCTCACTAATTAACACATTGTCTTGTTTGTTTAATCTGTACAAAAACTGAAATGTGAAAAATTAAAGTTGTTTTTTTAGGCAGATTATGTTACCTTTGGACTGAGCCAGGCTAGCTTGTTTTGTGCTGTCTCCAATCTTTATGCTGAGCTAAACAAACCGCCTCAAGGCTGGAGGCTTAAATTGACCATATGGACATGAGGGTGATATGAATCTTCTCATTTAGCTGTTGGTTTTTAAGCGAATAAGCACATTTCCTGAAATGCTCCACTATTACTTTAAATACAATTCAAGTATTTGAATGATACCACATTACCCTCATTTGCCCGGTAAGTTCCCGGCAAACAGTCGATACAATCATAACAGCAGGAATGGAAGCCTTTGACTCTGCGAACCTGGCCGTCATTACATTCTGCTGAACAGGTGGACTGAGGAACCTGCAAAAGTTGTTAAAAAAGTTTGGATTGTTATGGTAACAATTACAACAATTACAACATTTCAGGAACCCAAACTGGATTAGGATCAGATGGAAGATAACCACCAAGCTTTTAAAGTATGCATGTTCAAATGTATATAATAACTTCTTAATACATTTCTGAAATTACCTTAGAGTTTGCAGTGTGCCATTTGAAGAGGGTTTTGTTGATGGTCAGTTCTCTACGAAAGTTTCCAACTTCTATAAAGTCTAAAACCGAACCATTCCAGACCCACTCAATTATCTTGTATCCCATGTTTGGGTTGCCATTGCTGTCAAACTTTAAATGTGTGCCATTTATGTCCACATAAGTATTCTTTAAAACCTCCAACAGCTGCAAAACAAGATTGTATTCATAAAATAATCTTAATGTTTTTAAAAAAAATGTTTTATTACAAATCATAACCACCTATACAGCAGACCAAAAAAAAGAAAGACATCACCTTCCAGGGAAAGATTTTGGTTTCAGGTCCCTGCATGCATGCAGTTGAATTGCATTCCAGCAGGTTGTGCAGGGCCTGTGCCACACTGTAGACGGCAGCATACACACTGAAAGCTTGGTGCTTCACTGCAGGGTCTGTCACCAAGCTAATATTAGCAGGTGACAGGTTCCAACATTGTGGGCAGGGATTGTCAGGAAGGCCTGTGGACTTTTGTGCTGGAAGGGGGGTCTTCGCCCTCTCTTCACTCAGTTTCGTGAAGAGCTCCTCTGTGTAGGGACGGAGCAGGTCCAGGGGCTGTGTCTTGTCAATGAATCCAATGATTGTGCCGATTGTTTGGATATTGGGTAGCGATGTCAGCCGATTATTGATGGCCCAACTTGTGCTGGCAATCCAGACAGCAGTTATGTTCTTCCTGATGACCTGGAGTAGATTGGATTTGATCATTGGTTGTGAATTGAATATAATGTATCCACCAATTACATGTAATACTTGTTAAAAGTGATTCGCTAACCTCTTTAAAAAAGACCTCAACTTGCTCTGCGATAGAAAAGACCACTACCACTTTAACTTTTGTTGTGTTGATGTTATTGATGATGGTAGCTATCGCTGGTTTCGGGTCAGTATACACTGGAATCAGTCCCTGATAGGCCACACAGACAGACGTATTCTCTGCTGTTTTGGAGAATTCCTGCACACCTCGTTGTCCATACTCCTCTTCACTGCCCACCACTGCCACCCAGTTCCAGTTAAACCGCTGCAGCAGAAGCACCATGACTTCCACTTGCCATTTGTCACTGGGCACCGTGCGGAAGAATGACGGGTAGAGAAGCTTGTTACTGAATTTGTCACTGGTGGCACCGAAGCTGACCTGAAGTAAGAAAAGTTGTATTATAGCACTTTTGAATTTTACCCCACTGATGTTCCCCAGCAATTCTCCATCATTAAAATAGAAGGCCTAATGTACTTTTAACATTAGAAATATTTCTTTAAGGAAATGTCAAATCAGCCCAGGACATGAATGTGAGCAGATATATGACCTGACATATTTGTAATCAAACCTGCGGCATCAGAAAGAATCCCAGGAGTTTTCCTATGACCGACACCATCTCTGAGCTAAGAGGACCAATCACGGCTGATATGCTGGTCTCATATTGTGTGTAATTACACTCCACAGATAGCACTTTGTTCGATTTTGCAGTGAGGAAAGACATGGTGGGCTTCACAACGACGGCAGATTGTTTGCATGTATCATAGATTTCATAACCCAACTTAATGCCAGGGAGCATAATTTGGTTTGCATTGATCTCATCCACTGCATATTTCATCACAAGAGCGAGGGCCAGTCCAAGCTCATATGTACTGTGGAACCACAAGCAGATAAAAAAACAAGGAGACTTGTTAGTCGGGTAGAGCATACATACTGTATTTGTGCAGAATCTCAAATAATAGGGTAATTATTTCCCAAAAATGCTATTTTTCACAACCTCTCACCTTTCACAGCTGATGTTGTCAGGCTCCGTCCTCTGGCTGAGGTTGCTGGAGAGCTGGTTAATGGGAAAGAGCCCTCCGAGCATAATGTCACCAGACAAATTGAAGAGACTGGTAGAAATGTTGTGGAACCATTCCGGATTCTCACCGCAGCTCGGTCTGAATGCCCAGCACAAAACCAGCAGTGTGAAAGGTGTAGCCATGATGCAGATAACCGGGAGAGTGAAGGTAAAGTAACGATAACAGTGCGTATATGTGTCAGTACTTCTGTTGTTGTATGCAAACTCACCCAAAACCCCCAAAGCGAAATTGGTGCAATGGGCCCCTCCCCTTACCGGCCACAAACAGAGTATTGATGTAATACCAAGTAACTGCAAATCATGTGAAATGATCCTTATAATATTTCACCCACATTTGCATTTGTGGTATAAAATGACGTGACATTTTATATTACAGATAATCTTTACTAATGTTATCAGAAAAAGCAATAGCTGTAGCATTAATTGCACTACTATTGTGATCATGTCTAGATCAATAGATCCTTAATTCTAAAGTAATTGTAAATGATAGCATCTTATTTAATGACATTATTGACTTGTTTGTCAGGCGCTGCAATGAAGAAGGAAAGATTCACTCTGCACCTTGTGTGTATGTATACGTGTGTGTCGTGCAAGTGGTGTTTATCTTTTCCGGAGCATTTTCCTGACATTTGCTTGTGGCTTGCTCTTTGAATCTCTTTGGTCTAACTATCTGTCGGGAGATAAGCAAGCATTTTTACCTTCTCACCCTGAGTTGTTATCACAGCAAAACCTCACATTTATCCCTTTGCAAATGTTACTTTTAGTGGGTGGTTAATTATGTCACCTTAGGGAAAATATATACTACATTAACTCAGCCATTGCAACCAGTGAGCCGTTAAGATAACCAGCAATAAGTATCAAGCTCAATACTGTTAAAGCTCATAATACAATGTGTATCAAGTTCGTTTGCATTAAATGTTTTGAATGCATTCACCTCAGTGTTGCTTTTGCATATACATTTGCATGCAACACTGAATGTTTGTCATCCAAACAAGGATATTGACATATTTCCTCCCAAGACATTTGCATAGTAGACTTAATGCTCTTTTAAAAGGCTCTTGACAACAACATATTGAACAAGCCGTAATATTTTTCTGCTGTTACAGGTCCAGGCTATTTGTTTCAAAGCTGTTGTTCACAGAGCTTTGTAAACCACATAGCTTATTTTAACATGTATAGTCGGACAACAATTAAAGCAAATGTGAGATACCAAGGGCAGAGGAAAGGACAAAGCACTGGCACTCACAGATAAAGGGTATTTTTTGTGTGATAATAGCTTCTAGCTATAGGACAATGATATTTTTACCACGACACAAGAGTGTCGTGGCTTTGTTTCTTCTTTTACATGAAATACAAACCCTTTTGTACAGTAAGAACCTTTTAAATCTGCACTGTGAACTATGCCGCACTGTCTCAAACAAAGGCTGAATATGAGAATAATCGTGTCGTCTATTACATCACTCAAGTAAGACTTCAATAAGGAAGGAAAATGAGGAAATTAAGTCAATGGCAAATGTCACAGGCTAGAAATGTTACAGCAATTATTTAATTGGAGCACAATGACAGATTAACTGACAGAATGATGGATGCGGAGAGTAAAAATGGAAACAAAAGGTAGACTTCTTCATTGTATTATACAAGGAAGACTTGGGTTTTGTTCCTGAGCATTTCTCTTTGATCTTAGCATGCACACTTTCATACAAAGTCCAAAACGGAGTCAATTGAGGAAGTGTTTTGTTTATCTGCCTCACGGGCAAAAGTATTCTTCTCAATCACACGTCAACACAAGATTCTCATTTGATTAATAGGTCAATAATTAGTTGTCAAACCAGGCAGAGCAAGCCTCAGTGCAAAGCAATTAATGTTACATGAATTTACAACCACTTACAGTTGTAGTTGACATTCATTAATGATTTCACTCTACAGTGCAATTGGCTCTCATGATGTCTATTTTTTTTTCTTTACATTGCTTTCAAAGTGTGGTTGTTTATGTGGAAAAATGCTGCATAGACATATTTGTCTTTTGTCATAATTATTTGATTGCCATTTTAAAACATAATGCATTAGATTTCATGTCATATCACAATATAGAGTTTCCCCCAAATAGTTTTGCTTTTACCAATATACATTTATCTCAACACCTTTAGTGTGCACTGCTGCAGGTTCTTGTAATTATACGTGATTGCAACTTTTCTGTACTTGCATTATCATTTGTCTCATGTGCATTTATCTTTTGAGGTCAACCAGACCGCTTCAAAGACATATCAGTTACAGGAAGGGTTTGTTCAGGGACAGAAAAGAGGTGTTCTGTTGCCTATCTTGTTAGTCATCTTGACGTAGGAAGACCGGTGATGACACTCAATGTTTTCAGTACAGCCTGTCTACTTGTTCCACCTACAGATTGTTCTTATACAGCAAGCTGGGAATGCAAGGTTCAATCCTCTATGTGACTAATGTTAATGACATGATTTGCAGAAACATATGAAATTGCTTACAAGTCTCTGACTGGATCTTGTGTTGGCTCAGTGTTTCTGTTCTGTTCTTGTCTGCAGACGGTGGATTTAGATTGACATCTTGTTTTGGTTGAGGCAGGTTTCTTTCTCAAGCATGAATTCACCTTTTGCCTTGTTGGGTGTCGTAGTTACAGAGACTTTCATTGACGATTTGCGCCAGCATCACACACATACAAACATACCCATCTGTTTTGTTTCAAGGTTATTAAATTCTTTCTCAGTGGCCTGACACGCTTAATAGAAAATAACTGGTACATGGACAATCGCTATCATTATTGCCACTTGATGGTCAAATAAGTAAGCTCACAGTAAATGCATGGTAATAATTTTGTGGTTTAGAGCTGGTGAATGTAGGATGAACGCTTGTTAAACACTCAAATTACAGGGTCATTTGAAAAAATGTAATGCAAATAGTTTTGTTATTAAACGTCTCGGTTTTTTGATTTTGGTTGGATATTGATTTCTGCTTCAATCACAATACAATGGAATTTTGTTTATGATGCATCACATTGAAAAATTGCAAAAGCAACCTATTCTTCAGATGCAATGTCCCAGCTACTTCGAATAATCCACATATAGGCTACTAGCCTCTAAACCGCTCTAATCCCACTTCTTTCTAACTCCACACCTCCAGATTTATTTTCATTTACAATCTTGTAAGCTTCAGCCCTCACCAACGCTGTCTGAAGTGACATCACTTTAGGTCAAGAAGAAGCAGCAAACTCACACATTTTTGTGAAACTGTATCCAGCTAATTTGTGGAGGTTTGGCTTGAATAATGACTGACATGATTATCGATTATCAATAGCTGTAGATTAATTGATTAAATGGTGCAGCTCTAGTGTAAAAGTGTAGAAGTTTACACTGAGCAAGTGTACACTGAGCTCCTCTCTTTCTTTTTCTTTCTCTCCTTCTGTAAGAATTCATGTCCCATTAGTGCACATTACTAACTTTGCTTCTTCCCCGGAGTCTTTGTGCTTTCTCGCCTCACAGGTTTCCGTGGATCGTGGTTATATCTGGACCGTGACATTTCTGTCATATGTATTTAATGTGTTGTAACTCTGTTGTGTTGTTCATTCTGTACACATGACATCTATTGCACTTCTATCCATCCTGGGAGAGGGGTCCCTCCTCTGTTGCTCTCCCAAAGGTTTCTTCCATTTTTTCTCCCTGTTAAAGTTTTTTTTTGGGGGGGGGTTTCCTGTACCAATGTGAGGGTCCCAGGACAGAGGTTGTGTACAGATTGTAAAGCTCTCTTAGGCAAATTTGTGATTTGTGATTTTGGGCTATAATAAATTGAATGGAATTGAATTGAAAGTGAGAAAATCTTTTGTGAAAAAAGTCTTTCCATTACTTGGATGAACTGATCCTCAAAAAAGGGGTTCACACTTACATTTAGTCCTCTGGTTGCCTTGATATTGTGAAGCTTATGATAAGTCCTCCACTCCCTGAGTGTGTACATTTATATAGCTCAACCACTAGGTGTCATGTGTGTGTATCATATTATCGCCACCCCCTGGACTCATACTGCCTGTCTTTTAGGGCTGTTGAAATCTGGCACTTTACTTGTACATACATATGGGGAATATTTACGTTATGAGGAGCTGGTGAGAAATCTCAGAACGAGACATATTGTGTTGCTTGTGATGGAGGTGAAGGTGGAGCTTCTTGTAGCTGTGTGGGCAGCAGGTACTTTGTGTAGCAAAGGGCTGTTTGAACAACTGATAACGGAGGGGAGTCAACCTGCGTTAAGGCTGAAATGATTTTCTTGGTAGCCTACTGCTATGTTTTGGGTCAATCGTTTGCATTGATTAGCCCTATGACCTGCAAAGAAGGGAACATTGCTGCACAACTCCTCTCAGATTGAGAAATTACAGACGTTCTTTGCATCAAGGGAGCACCATGTGCGATATGAAGAAATAGATACTCGCGCACGTATGGGTACTTTGTGCATGTGTTATGAACTGTAGCTGGCAAACATAATATGCCACCAGTGCCCCCTCTGTCAGTCCCAAATGGCTGTGACTGTTGCAAAACACTGAGCTAGATTCCCTCCCTGAGAGAGACCCAGGAATACCACCCTCTCTCCCTTGCTTCCTTTCACCCTCTTTCCCTCCCACTACTCCCCCCCCCCTTTGCCTGCACAGTGGCCGGATAAGCCCCGCTCTCTAATCTCCATCGCTGGCCTGAGAAACACTGGGCCCGTTGTTGACATGCTGGCCTCATACCCCACAGGGGCTGACAAATTATTAGCCAGCCTCTCCGTGCAGAGTGAGGACAGCCGTGCAGCCAGGGAGCAGAGAGCTAAGCTGTGCTGCCGGACATCTGTCTTGATCAGCTTCATGGCAATGATGCTGGAGGAAATGTGGGAACGACGAGATTCTGTTGAACGATGATGGGGGGCGGCTGGTCAGGGTTGAACCAGCTGTGGTGGTGCAACATTCCTCAGTTTACTACACCATGCAGAAACGCTTGTGCGTCTTATCACAGCCTGAACACTTGCAGTATGAAGGTGTTTTTACCGCACCATGAAGGGTTAAATAAAGGATTCATCCTCCCTCCTTCCAGCAGTAAAACTTGTTCTACTTCGTGTCTTCAGCCTGTGTGTGT